TGGAGACACACACACATAGTCTATTCCAAGATGGAGACACACACAGAAAGTCTATTTCAAGATGGAGACACACACACAGAGTCTATTCCAAGATGGAGACACACACATAGTATATTCCAAGATGGAGACACACACAGAAAGTCTATTTCAAGATGGAGACACACACACAGAGTCTATTTCAAGATGGAGACACACACAGAAAGTATATTTCAAGATGGAGACACACACAGAAAGTCTATTTCAAGATGGAGACACACACACAGAGTCTATTTCAAGATGGAGACACACACATAGTCTATTCCAAGATGGAGACACACACATAGTCTATTCCAAAATGGAGACACACACACAGAAAGTCTATTTCAAGATGGAGACTCACACACAGAGTCTATTTCAAGATGGAGACACACACAGAGTCTATTCCAAGATGGAGACACACACAGAAAGTCTATTTCAAGATGGAGACACACACACAGAGTCTATTCCAAGATGGAGACACACACAAAAAGTCTATTCCAAGATGGAGACACACACAGAAAGTCTATTTCAAGATGGAGACACACACACAGAGTCTATTCCAAGATGGAGACACACAGAGAGTCTATTTCAAGATGGAGACACACACACAGAGTCTATTTCAAGATGGAGACACACACACATAGTCTATTCCAAGATGGAGACACACACAGAAAGTCTATTTCAAGATGGAGACACACACACAGAGTCTATTCCAAGATGGAGACACACACATAGTCTATTCCAAGATGGAGACACACACAGAAAGTCTATTTCAAGATGGAGACACACAGAAAGTCTATTTCAAGATGAAGACACACACAGAAAGTATATTTCAAGATGGAGACACACACAGAAAGTCTATTTCAAGATGGAGACACACACACAGAGTCTATTTCAAGATGGAGACACACACATAGTCTATTCCAAGATGGAGACACACACATAGTCTATTCCAAAATGGAGACACACACACAGAAAGTCTATTTCAAGATGGAGACTCACACACAGAGTCTATTTCAAGATGGAGACACACACAGAGTCTATTCCAAGATGGAGACACACACAGAAAGTCTATTTCAAGATGGAGACACACACACAGAGTCTATTTCAAGATGGAGATGCACACAGAGTATATTCCAAGATGGAGACACACACACAAAGTATATTTCAAGATGGAGACACACACAGAAAGTCTATTTCAAGATGGAGACACACACACAGAGTCTATTCCAAGATGGAGACACACACAAAAAGTATATTTCAAGATGGAGACACACACATAAAGTCTATTTCAAGATGGAGACACACACACAGAGTCTATTTCAAGATGGAGATGCACACAGAGTATATTCCAAGATGGAGACACACACACAAAGTATATTTCAAGATGGAGACACACAGACAGAGAGTCTATTGCGAGGGTCCAAACATTTTGAAACTCAACGGCGGAAACAGGAAGAGGAAAAGCGGGAAACAGCGGAAACGGAAACGCTGCAGCCCGACTTACAAATGCAGTTGCACCCAGCACGCTTTCTGGACACGTTGTGCTCGAGCTGCGGCAGAATCTGTCAACCCCAGATCGGTCTCTCCAGCCATCTTCGGTGCCCACAGATAATCCAACTTCTCTATGGAAGACAATCACACTTCATTTTGAGGGATAGTCCATGATGGATGCCATTGAATGGATCTTTGTGAAATCAAAAGAGCTTTATGACAGTGAATTGACCTACGTGAGATCATAGTAATAGGTTTTTACCCTTTTAACTGGTACAAAAACTGACACCTTTATACAAGGCATCATGTTTGCAATAACCACAACACAAGCAGTCAAAATGCAAACAAAAAGAATCAACTTTGATGATGATAATGATATGCACTGTCCTTGAAGTTGATTGGTCCACACCCGAGACAGCTTTTCTTCGAGCCTAGTCTCCATTGGTGTTGGACCAGATGACGCCAAAAGGTGTACAACTCAAAGACAGCGCACTGTCAGAGTATTTAGAGCTCGGGGTAAGCATTTACACTATGAGACCTCCTTTACCAGTGGCATAGTAATAGGTTTTTACCCTTTCAACTGGTACAAAAACTGACACCTTTATACATCATCTGGTCCAACACCATGTGAGACTAGGCTCTATGAAAAACTGTCTTGGGTGTGGACCAATCAACTTCAAGGACAGTGCATGTCATTATCATCAGAGTTGTTTCTTTTTGTTTGCATTTTGACTGCTTGTGTTGTGGTTATTGCAAACATGATGCCTTGTATAAAGGTGTCAGTTTTTGTACCAGTTGAAAGGGTAAAACCCTTTTACTATATTTTGCACCTGGTAAAGGAGGTCTCATAGTGTATATGTGAGATCAATTAAGCTATATGAGAATGAATGGATCTCTATTAGATCAATAGAGTTGTATGATAGTGAATATATCTCTATGAGAGTGAATATATCTCTATATGAGAGTGAATAGATCTCTATTAGATCAATAGAGCTGTATGATAGTGAATGTATCTCTCTATGAGAGTGAATGTGTCTCTCTATGAGAGTGAATGGATCTCGAGGCGTGACGTCACGTGCGAGAGAGCCCTCTTGTGGCCACGTGATGCTTCTAGAGCTGTGAGCAGCTCCCTCCATGAGCATCCTCCTCGAGCCTTGTAACTCTCCACCGCCGTTGCTGACGAGTCGCTCGCTCTCGTAGAGAGAGGAGACGACTCAGAGAGACAGGGGACGACTCAGAGAGACAGGGGACGACTCAGAGAGAGAGCACGAATCAGAGAGGGGACGACTCAGGGGCCGTCCATAAATGACGTCACGCGATTTTGGACGATTTTTGACCCCCCCCTCCCCCCTTGTCACGCGGCGTCACAAAAAGTCAACCCCCCCCCCCAAATATGACGTCAAAAAGCTCTGCCCCCCCCCCCAAAAATAAAACATGCTTCAAATCGCTTTAAACTATCGCCATTGTAGTGCGTATTTAATGTGGCGCTGCACTCTGATGTTGGAGAAAACATTTATTAAAAAGTCTATTTAATTAAGTAGAACGTGTTGTCTATATTTATTTAAAGTTTGTGCATTTTGATGTGACGTCACATTTCTCAACCGCCCCTCCTCTTCACACATCGTCACAAATGTCTGCTCCAGGAGGAGGAAAGGCAGCACCAGCCACGTGGTAAGGAGGCAACGCGATCCAAACCATTTCTCGAGCTCTGCGGTCCCCTATGTATGGAGATGTGTTCAGCCAATTCCACGTGAGTTGTTGATCCGTGTGGGGTGGAGCGCCCGGGCCCGGAGAGACGGGACAGGTGGAGGCCACATTCGCTCTGCTGTGCCGCCGCCTCCTGGCAGAGGCCAGGTACTACTCGTCCTCAACGCTCACCCACGGGGAGGGAGTGGCCACCACCAACACCACCAGTGTGTTCAACCACCACCCCCCACCACCACCACCACCACAGTGTTCAACCACCACCCCCCCCCACCACCACCACCCCCCCCACCACCACCACCACCAGTGTGCAACCACGACCCCCCCCCACCACCACCACCCCCCCCACCACCACCACCACCAGTGTGCAACCACCACCCCCCCCCACCACCCCCACCACCACCACCACAGTGTTCAACCACCACCCCCCCCCCCACCACCACCACCCCCCCCACCACCACCACCAGTGTGCAACCACCACCCCCCCCCCACCACCACCACCACCCCCCCACCACCACCACCACGACCACAGTGTTCAACCACCACCACCACCACCCCCCCCCCCACCACCACCACCACAGTGTTAAACCACCACCACCACCACCACCCCCCCCCCACCAGCACCACCACAGTGTTCAACCACCACCCCCCCCCACCACCACCACCACCCCCCCCCCCCCACCACCTCCCCCCCCCACCACCACCACCCCCCCCCCCCACCACCACCACCACCAGTGTGCAACTACCACTCCCCCCCACCACCACCACAGTGTTCAACCACCACCACCCCCCCCCACCACCACCACCACCAGTGTGCAACCACCACCCCCCCCCCCCCACCATCACCACCCCCCCCACCACCACCAGTGTGCAACCACCACCCCCCCCCACCACCACCAGTGTTCAACCACCACCCCCCCACCACCACCACCACCACCACCACCCCCCCCCACCACCACCACCACCACCCCCCCCACCACCACCACCACCAGTGTTCAACCACCACCCCCCCCCACCACCACCACCAGTGTTCAACCACCACCCCCCCCCACCACCACCACCAGTGTTCAACCACCACCACCACCACCCCCCCACCACCACCACAGTGTTCAACCACCACCCCCCCCCACCACCACCACCCCCCCCCACCACCACCACCACCCCCCTACCACCACCACAGTGTTCAACCACCACCCCCCCCCCCACCACCACCACCCCCCCCCCACCACCACCACCACCACCACCACGACCACAGTGTTCAACCACCCCCCCCCACCACCACCACCAGTGTTCAACCACCACCACCACCTCCCCCCCCCCCACCACCACCACCAGTGTTCAACCACCACCACCACCTCCCCCCACCACCACCACCACACAGTGTTCAACCACCACCACCACCACCTCCCCCCACCACCACCACCACACTGTGTTCAACCACCACCACACTGTGTTCAACCACCACCACACTGTGTTCAACCACCAAATACAAAGATCCCACGTATAGCTATAAACGACTGTTGGGGCAAGTGCTGTTAGCGAGCACCTCGGGGGTGGGTAGTCAGCACCACGTCGGGCCGCCTTTGTCTCCCCAGTGACGATGTATACACACCTAGGTTGACTCAGCCTCAATTGAGGCTGAGTCAACCTAGGGGAGACCCAGGACCGGTTTGGATAATCGTCACTGGTGTTGGCCATGAGCAGTAAGCACAGCGTGCTAACTATTGCGCCACCGCTCCGCGCCCGGACACACGTAGACACACACACAGAGTGAGAGACATATCTTAACAAGCGAGGTTTATTACCAACTCATCATCAAGGCAAGCCGCGGGGTGCGTAAAGCTCTGTAGTACCAGCCGCCTCCACCAGCAAGTGGGCATCTTGGCAATCAGCAGCCATCCAATTAGTCGCCATGGTTACGGGGAACGATCTCAAAGCAATGCGTCGTCTCCGTTAGGCTAATGGGGACATTAGCATCTCATTTTCAAACCATTTGCATAACGTTTGCATAGCAATGTACGTTCGCGTTACTATGCGGGTAGTGTTGAGTCTATGGGGAGAGTTGAGTCTATGGGCAGTGTTGAGTCTATGGGTAGTGTTGAGTCTATGGGCAGTGTTGAGTCTATGGGCAGTTTTAGTCTATGGGCAGTGTTGAGTCTATGGGTAGAGTTGAGTCTATGGGCAGTGTTGAGTCTATGGGTAGTGTTGAGTCTATGGGCAGTGTTGAGTCTATGGGAAGTGTTGAGTCTATGGGTAGAGTTGAGTCTATGGGCAGTGTTGAGTCTATGGGTAGTGTTGAGTCTATGGGCAGTGCTGAGTCTATGGGCAGTGTTGAGTCTATGGGTAGTGTTGAGTCTATGGGTAGAGTTGAGTCTATGGGTAGAGTTGAGTCTAAGGGTAGTGTTGAGTCTACGGGTAGTGAGATGACGATTCATGGGACGCGCTGATTTGTGAGTGGACTCACCGATGAGTACCATCCTGGCCACAATCTATTGCTTAATACGTCACGTACACACCACACACACCACCACCACGCTGTCTGGCAGACTGTCTGACGAACCAGTCCGTGAGACAGGCAGACTGCATATTCGTCAGCCGCTCTATCAGACAGACTGGCTGCGAAGCCAACGGACAGGCGGCCTGTGACGCACACTGGCTGTGAGGCAGTACAACTGATCGACGGTCAGGCTGACAGACGTGTTTGTCAGATAAGAATAACTGCAGCAGACGCACTGGTTGTGAGAGTGCGAGACAGTCCGATGAAACAAGTCGTCTGCGACACACACTGGCTGTAGGACAGACAGTTTGACAGCAGTTGTCATCTGTGAGGCTGTCTGTGAGACAAACAGGTGGGTGTGCGGGTGTGTGGCTCTGGGGGGGGTGCGGATGTGGCGGTTGTGCGGTTCTCTGTCTGTGCGGTTGTGCGGCTGTAGGGGCTGTGTGGCTGTCCCAGCGCGTCACCAGGGCAGCTGGGAGGCGAGCTGCTCGGCCCCAGCGTCGTCACTCCCGCACAGCTCCAGCAGGGCGCGCTTGTAGTCACCTGACGCGGCGTCCTGGGGGCGGGGCAGGAGGGTTAGGGGAGGGGCAGTGGGTGGGGGGAGGGGTTACGCTCCTGTATTCGCTACAACGCGGTTTGGCCATGATGGCGGCACTTTTCGCACAACGCGGAACGTGAGACACACAGCCAGTGTGTCTCAGTCAATGGGCAGTGTTCAAGTCTATGGGCAGTGTTGAGTCTATGGGTAGAGTTTGTCTATGGGCAATGTTGAGTCTGGGCAGTGTTGAGCCCGTGGTGCAGTGTTGAGGCCATGGTGCAGTATTGAGTCTATGGTGCAGTGTTGAGTCAATGGTGCAGTGTTGAGTCTATGGTGCAGTGTTGAGTCTATGGTGCAGTGTTGAGTCTATGGTGCAGTGTTGAGTCTATGGTGGAGTGTTGAGTCTATGGTTCAGTGCTGAGTCTATGGTGCAGTGTTGAGTCTATGGTGCAGTGTTGAGTCTATTGTGCAGTGTTGAGTCTATCGTACAGTGTTGAGTCTATGGTGCAGTGTTGAGTCTGGGCAGTGTTGAGTCTATGGTGCAGTGTTGAGGCCATGGTGCAGTGTTGAGTCTATGGTGCAGTGTTGAATCCGTGGTGCAGTGTTGAGTCCGTGGTGCAGTGTTGAGTCTGTGGTGCAGTGTTGAGTCTATGGTGCAGTGCTGAGTCTATGGTGCAGTGTTGAGTCTATGGGCAGTGTTGAGTATATGGTGCAGTGTTGAGTCTATGGGCAGTGTTGAGTCTATGAGCAGTGTTGAGTCTATGGGCAGTGTTGAGTCTATGGTGCAGTGTTGAGTCTATGGGCAGTGTTGAGTCTATGGTGCAGTGTTGAGTCTATAGGCAGTGTTGAGTCTATAGGCAGTGTTGAGCCTATGGGCAGTGTTGAGTCTATAGGCAGTGTTGAGTCTATGGTGCAGTGTTGAGTCTAAGGGCAGTGTTGAGTCTATGGGCAGTGTTGAGTCTATGGGCAGTGTTGAGGCTGTGGTGCAGTGTTGAGTCTATGGGCAGCGTTGAGTCCGTGGTGCAGTGTTGAGTCTATGAGCAGTGTTGAGTCTACGGTGCAGTGTTGAGTCTATGGTGCAGTGTTGAGTCTATGAGCAGTGTTGAGTCTATGAGCATTGTTGAGTCTACGGTGCAGTGTTGAGTCTATGGTGCAGTGTTGAGTCTATGAGCAGTGTTGAGTCTACGGTGCAGTGTTGAGTCTATGGGCAGTGTTGAGTCTATGGTGCAGTGTTGAGTCTATGGTGCAGTGTTGATGCCATGGTGCAGTGTTGAGTCCGTGGTGCAGTGTTGATGCCATGGTGCAGTGTTGAGTCCGTGGTGCAGTGTTGAGGCCGTGGTGCAGTGTTGAGTCTATGGTGCAGTGTTGAGTCTATGAGCAGTGTTGAGTCTATGGGCAGTGTTGAGTCTATGGTGCAGTGTTGAGGCCGTGGTGCAGTGTTGAGTCTATGGTGCAGTGTTGAGTCCGTGGTGCAGTGTTGAGTCTATGGTGCAGTGTTGAGTCTATGGTGCAGTGTTGAGTCTGTGGTGCAGTGTTGAGTCTATTGTGCAGTGTTGAGTTTATGGTGCAGTGTTGAGTCTATTGTGCAGTGTTGAGTCTATGGGCAGTGTTGAGGCCGTGGTGCAGTGTTGAGTCCGTGGTGCAGTGTTGAGTCTATGGGCAGTGTTGAGTCTGTGGTGCAGTGTTGAGTCTATGGTGCAGTGTTGAGTCTATGGTGCAGTGTTGAGTCTATGGTGCAGTGTTGAGTCTTTGGTGCAGTGTTGAGTCTATGGTGCAGTGTTGAGTCTGTGGTGCAGTGTTGAGTCCATTGTGCAGTGTTGAATCTGTGGTGCAGTGTTGAGTCTGTGGTGCAGTATTGAGTCTATGGTGCAGTGTTGAGTCTGTGGTGCAGTGTTGAGTCTATGGTGCAGTGTTGAGTCTGTGGTGCAGTGTTGAGTCTATGGTGCAGTGTTGAGTCTGTGGTGCAGTGTTGAGTCTATGGTGCAGTGTTGAGTCTGTGGTGCAGTGTTGAGTCTATGGTGCAGTGTTGAGTCTATGGTGCAGTGTTGAGTCTATGGTGCAGTGTTGAGTCTTTGGTGCAGTGTTGAGTCTATGGTGCAGTGTTGAGTCTGTGGTGCAGTGTTGAGTCTATGGTGCAGTGTTGAGTCTATGGGCAGTGTTGAGTTTATGGTGCAGTGTTGAGTCTATTGTGCAGTGTTGAGTCTATGGGCAGTGTTGAGGCCGTGGTGCAGTGTTGAGTCCGTGGTGCAGTGTTGAGTCTATGGGCAGTGTTGAGTCTGTGGTGCAGTGTTGAGTCTATGGTGCAGTGTTGAGTCTATGGTGCAGTGTTGAGTCCGTGGTGCAGTGTTGAGTCTATGGTGCAGTGTTGAGTCTATGGTGCAGTGTTGAGTCTGTGGTGCAGTGTTGAGTCTATTGTGCAGTGTTGAGTTTATGGTGCAGTGTTGAGTCTATTGTGCAGTGTTGAGTCTATGGGCAGTGTTGAGGCCGTGGTGCAGTGTTGAGTCCGTGGTGCAGTGTTGAGTCTATGGGCAGTGTTGAGTCTGTGGTGCAGTGTTGAGTCTATGGTGCAGTGTTGAGTCTATGGTGCAGTGTTGAGTCTATGGTGCAGTGTTGAGTCTTTGGTGCAGTGTTGAGTCTATGGTGCAGTGTTGAGTCTGTGGTGCAGTGTTGAGTCTATTGTGCAGTGTTGAATCTGTGGTGCAGTGTTGAGTCTATGGTGCAGTGTTGAGTCTGTGGTGCAGTGTTGAGTCTATGGTGCAGTGTTGAGTCTGTGGTGCAGTGTTGAGTCTATGGTGCAGTGTTGAGTCTGTGGTGCAGTGTTGAGTCTATGGTGCAGTGTTGAGTCTGTGGTGCAGTGTTGAGTCTATGGTGCAGTGTTGAGTCTATGGTGCAGTGTTGAGTCTATGGTGCAGTGTTGAGTCTTTGGTGCAGTGTTGAGTCTATGGTGCAGTGTTGAGTCTGTGGTGCAGTGTTGAGTCTATGGTGCAGTGTTGAGTCTATGGGCAGTGTTGACTCTATGGTGCAGTGTTGAGTCCGTGGTGCAGTGTTGAGTCCATGGTGCAGTGTTGAGTCCATGGTGCAGTGTTGAGTCCGTGGTGCAGGGTTGAGTCCGTGGTGCAGTGTTGAGTCTATGGTGCAGTGTTGAGTCCATGGTGCAGTGTTGAGTCCATGGTGCAGTGTTGAGTCCGTGGTGCAGTGTTGAGTCCATGGTGCAGTGTTGAGTCCGTGGTGCAGTGTTGAGTCCATGGTGCAGTGTTGAGTCCGTGGTGCAGTGTTGAGTCCGTGGTGCAGTGTTGAGTCCGTGGTGCAGTGTTGAGTCTATGGTGCAGTGTTGAGTCCATGGTGCAGTGTTGAGTCCATGGTGCAGTGTTGAGTCCGTGGTGCAGTGTTGAGTCCATGGTGCAGTGTTGAGTCCATGGTGCAGTGTTGAGTCCGTGGTGCAGTGTTGAGTCCGTGGTGCAGTGTTGAGTCTGTGGTGCAGTGTTGAGTCCATGGTGCAGTGTTGAGTCCATGGTGCAGTGTTGAGTCCGTGGTGCAGTGTTGAGTCCCTGGTGCGGTGTGACGGTGGGGGGTGGCGCTGACCGTGATGGCGGAGTGCAGAGAGACTCCGGTCTGGTGGAGGAACTCCGAGCGGATGTCCAGGAGGTCGAGCTCGCAGCGCGACACCACGATGCGGGTCAGCGTCACGTCGTCCAGAGACAACCCCTGGGTTGAGGATGGTGGGGGTGGCCGTGGGGCAGAGGTCAGCGCATCGCCGCACTACCAACCCAGCGACCCCGAGTTCGACCCCCGCTCACGGCCGCCACCACGAACACCGCTGACGAGGATCTCAATCGGTCCTGGGGCCTCAACGAGGTCGGCTTGGCCTTAAAACTATCACCACCATCATCGCCATCGTCGTCACCACAATCGACATCACCATCATCACCAACATCACCACCATCACCGACCGGTATTGGCCACTCAACCCCGAGCTACCCAGGGGAGCTTTGTCTGTGTGTGCCTTACCGTGAGGGCCTTGTTCAGGCGCCTGGCAAAATACGCGGGCTTGTTGCGAATGCACCTCACTGTGAACACAACATCACCACCACCATCATCAACATCACCACCGTCACCACCATCGTCAACATCATCATCAACGTCAACATCATCACCGTCAACAAGATCACCATCATCACCACCATCACCACCATCATCAACATCATCAATATCATCATCAGCGTCAACATCACCACCGTCACCACCATCGCCATCGTCAACATCATCGTCAACGTCACCATCATCACCATCAACACCACCATCATCACTACCACCACCATCACTGCCACCATCAACATCACCACCGTCACCACCATCGTCAACATCATCATCAACGTCAACATCATCACCGTCAACAAGATCACCATCATCACCACCATCATCACTACCACCACCATCACCACCACCATCATCATAAATATCATCATCAGCGTCAACATCACCATCGTCATTATCAATATCATCATAATCAACATCACTATCAACATCACCACTATAACATCAACACCATCATCACCATCACCAGTAGACTTGACCAAGCGGTGTCAAGATCGGCCTCTGTGGAGGAAGCTCGTGAAGGACGCTGCTGCTGCTACTGGGCAGTTGGAGGCAGTCGCCCTCCAGCAACAACGGAGGGCGGAGGAGCGACGCTCACAACAACGAGCGGAGCGCCGGGCGGCTAAAACGAAGCCAGTTGGTACAGTGGGGGGGCACAGGTGGTGTGCATCTGCCGGTCATCCCGCTCAGTCAACCCATGGCACTCTGCGTGAAAGTGAGTGAGTGTGTGAGTGTGCGCTAACGTGAGTGAGTGTCAATGGGTGAGTGAGGGGGTGAGCGAGCGAGTGAGTGGGTGTGTGTGAGAGTGAGTGAGTGTGTGAGTGTGCGCTAACGTGAGTGAGTATCAATGGGTGAGTGAGGGGGTGAGCGAGCGAGTGAGTGTGTGAGTGTGTGTGAGAGTGAGTGAATGTGTGCGAGATTCAGTGAGTGTGTGTGAGTGAGTGTGTGAGTGATAGTGAGTGCGGGGAGCGGTAGTGTAGCGGTTAGCGCGCTGGGCTACGAACCCGGCGACCCGAGTTCGATTCCCGCTCACGGCCAACACCAGTGGTGGATTACCTGAACCGGTCCTGGGAACTCCCCTACGTCCACTCAGCCTCAAATGAGTACCTGGTGCTGGCCACCCCCTTCGTGTGCCGTCCCGACCTTCGCAGGCGATGCTGCTCGCTACTGACAGCACTTGCCCCAACAGCCTGCCCAGGCTACACGGTGGGGTGGGGGCCTTTGTCTTTGTAACTCACCGATGGCGAGGAGGGCGTCTTCGAAGCTGCCCGACGTCTCCCCCTTGATGCTCTCCTCGATGTCTTTCCCCGCGAGCTCCGTGTACGTCTCAAACACTGCGCGCCCGCGCACACACAAAGACAAAGCTCCCCCGTGTAGCCCACGCAGGCCCGTCAGGGCAAGTGCCGTCGGCGAGCAGCACCGCCCCCGACCCCCCGCCCCGGTGCCGATGCATTTAAGGCTGAGTCGACCTAGAGGAGTTTCAGGACCGGTTCAGATGTGGTGGTGGCCGTGAACAGGAATCGGAACTCGGGCCGCCGGGTTCGGTAGTGCGGGGCGCTAACTGCTACACCACCGCTCCCCACACACACACACACAACGTACACACGTACACACACGCTCGCGTACACACACACACGTACACACACACACGCTCGCGTACACACACGTACGTACACACACGTACACACACACGTACACACACACACACGCTCGCGTACACACACACGTACGTACACACACGTACACACACACACAACGTACACACGTACACACGTACACACACGCTCACACACGCTCGCGTACACACACACACACGCTCGCGTACACACACACGTACGTACACACACGTACACACACGTACACACACGCTCGCGTGCACGGCAGTGCGTTGGCAGCTCGTTGCGGAGTCTCGCGGGTTGACTCTGGCAGCCAGCCTGGTTAATACTGTGCGTGCGCGCGTGTGTACTCTATCGGACCGTGACCTTCCCCGGGCTCAAGTTGCAAGGGCAGTTGTGTTGCCATTACGGTCTGAATTTTGAGCAAATTCGACGAATCACTCAGTCGAGCTAAACCAGCGGACAACGAGGTCATCCCCCCCCCTCCTCCTCCTGACGGGCGTGGCTGGGAGATGTTAACTGCCTCGCCTGGTACGCAGGAGGTCGTGGGTTCGATCGCGACCCCGATGCCTTCTGCACATTTCGGTGTTTTCTCTCCCCGTGTGGCGGCGTGGATTCTTCTCCGGGTCCTCCGGTTTTTAGAATCAACGTCAACACGTTTAGAGTAATTCCATTATTTGGCTGCTGCGATGCATTTGTCCACGTGGTGGTGATGATGATGATAAGCCCACTTCGTTGGGCTATCATTTGTGAAAAGAAGCAACATAACTCAGTGGGCCTTAAATTTCGGGATTCGTCTTCTTGGTTCTTTCGGTAAAGTCACGTAGAAGGGAAATAATAAAATAATATTGTGTTTTATTTTTTATTATTTCCCTTCTACATGACTTTACCGAAAAAACCAAGAAGATCAGTGGGCCTTGTCTGGTGAAATACAAATCTTTGTTGTGATGTTTATCTTTCCTATACTGTGACCCCGTGCCTCGACTGGACGTCTGTGTAGAAGAGCTTCATAGCTCATCGGATTCCTCCAGCACGACTAACTATTCTGATTCTGAGAAGTGACCTGCCGAGGGAGATGTGGCAGAGGTCGCAAACGGGTTTTGATTCCTTACCCGGCTACCCATACCCGACTGGGTACGGGTAGCCGGGTATCTGGTAGGGTACGGGTATCGGGTAGGGTACGGGTATCGGGTAGGGTATGGGTATCGGGTACCCGATTGCGACCTCTGAGGCGTGGTGCTGGCTGCTTTGCCTGACGCCATCACAGCTGATTCAACTCTCCCCACGCACTCCCCACTCACTCACCACACACTCACCACGCACTCACCATGCACTCAGCACTCACTCCACACGCACTCCCCACTCACTCCCCACGCACTCTCCACTCACTCCCCTCTTACCTCTGCGGAGGTGAGGGTAGCTGCGGGAACAGAGCACGGAGAGAAACGTGGACTCGTCGGTTCCCAGGGACTCCTCACCAGCCTCGAACAGAGCCTGCGTCAACATCACCACCATCACCACCATCACCACCATCACCGTCAACACCATCACCACCATCACCACCACCACCATCACCACCACCACCATCAACATCACCACCATCACCACCATCACCACCATCACCGTCAACATCACCACCATCACCACCATCACCACCACCATCACCACCATCAACACCATCACCACCATAAACATCATCACCATCACCACGGTCAACATCACCACCATCACCACCATCAACACGGTCAACATCACCACCATCACCACCATCACCGTCAACATCACCACCACCACCACCACTGTCAACATCACCACCATCACCACCACCACCATCACCACCACCACCATCAACATCACCACCATCACCACCATCACCACCATCACCGTCAACATCACCACCATCACCACCATCACCACCACCATCACCACCATCAACACCATCACCACCATAAACATCATCACCATCACCACGGTCAACATCACCACTATCACCACCATCACCACCATCACCACCACCATCACCACCATCACCACCATCACCGTCAACATCACCACCACCACCACCGTCAACATCATCACCATCACCACCACCACCGTCAACACCACCACCACCGTCAATATCATCACCACCATCATCAACATCACTACCACCACCATCATCAACAGTATCATCCTCATCATTGTCATCAACATCGCCACCACCATCACCACCACCGTCATCACCACCACCACCACCAGTGCGTCCACCACCTGTGCGTCCTCCATCACCACTTGCTCATCCACGTAGGGGCTCTCATCCCGGTTTCCCTGCACACGCACACAAAGACAAAGGTCCCCCGTGTAGCCCACGCACGCTGTTGGGGCAAGTGCAGCTACTCACGCCGGGCCGGGCACGCCTACGAGAGTGCGTGGTGTGGCCGGGACCACGCCCGGCCGCCTTTGTCTCCCCAGTGCTGGTAATCGTCGCTGGCGTTGGTGGCGGTGAGCGGCAATCGAAGTCGGGTCGCCGGGTTCGTAGCGCAGCGCTGACTGCTGCACCGCGACTCCCCACGCAGCGGACATGTACATGCAGACAGTGATGTGTGTGTGCGTGTGGTGGGTGTACAACTTGCGGAGACGTCGTTCTTCTGCAGTCAGCTCGTTCATTGTACTGGTAGGAACCTCCTGGTTACACCAGCCCACAGGGGATTATTGTGTCCGTCCGTCCGTCGTGCATCCAAAAATGGGAGGAGTGGGGCTGGGTGGAGAGGGGAGGGTGGGGAGGGGCTGGGTGGGGAGGGTGTGGAGGGTGGGGGGTGGGAGGGGTGGGGCTGGGTGGGGAGGGGCTGGTCACCCCGTGGGTGTGTGTGTACGTGTGTGTGTACATGTGTGTGTGTACACGTGTGTGTATACGTGTGGGTACACGTGTTTGTGTACACGTGTGTGTACACGTGTGTGTGTGTACACGTGTGTGTGTACACGTGTGTGTGTGTGTACACGTGTGTGTGTACACGTGTGTGTGTGTACACGTGTGTGTGTTTACACGTGTGTGTGTACACGTGTGTGTGTACACGTGTGTGTGTGTACACGTGTGTGTGTGTGTACACGTGTGTGTACCGTAAGCAGGGACACGAGCACTCTCTTGAAGTATCCGGCCGTCTCCGCAACGATGTCATCTTCCAGAGACCGCCCCACCACTGAGTACACACAGAGTACACGCAGAGAGTAGTACACACAGTACACACACAGAGTAGTACACACACACAGAGTACACACAGAGAACACGCAGAGTAGTACACACAGAGTACACACAGAGTACACACACAGTACACGCAGTACACACAGAGAACACACACACAGCACACACACAGAGTACACACAGAGTACACACAGAGAACATGCAGAGAGTAGTACACACAGAGTACACACACACAGAGTAGTACACACACACAGAGTACACACACAGAGAACACGCAGAGTAGTACACACAGAGTACACACAGAGCACACACACAGAGTACACACACAGTACACACAGAGTACACACAGTAGTACGCACACAGAGTACACACACAGTACACACGGAGTACACACAGAGTACATACACAGTACACAGATGAGGAGGCAGGCAGGTTTGTCAGTGAGTAGGTAAGTTGGAAGGTAGGTGAATAGGGAGGCAGGTGAGTTGGTGAGTAGTTGGTGAGTAGTTGGTGAGTGTGTGGTGAGTAGTTGGTGAGTAGTCGGTGAGTGTGTGGTGAGTGAGTGGTGAGTAGTTGGTGAGTGTGTGGTGAGTAGTGGGTGAGTGTGTGGTGAGTGTGTGGTGAGTGAGTGGTGAGTAGTTGGTGAGTGTGTGGTGAGTAGTGGGTGAGTGTGTGGTGAGTGTGTGGTGAGTGTGTGGTGAGTAGTTGGTGAGTAGTCATTGAGTAGGTGGTGAGTAGTTGGTGAGTAGTCGGTGAGTGTGTGGTGAGTGTGTGGTGAGTAGTTGGTGAGTAGTCATTGAGTAGGTGGTGAGTAGTCGGTGAGTGTGTGGTGAGTGAGTGGTGAATAGTGGGTGAGTGTGTGGTGAGTAGTTGGTGAGTAGTTGGTGAGTAGGTGGTGAGTGTATGGTGAGTGTGTGGTGAGTGAGTGGTGAGTAGTTGGTGAGTGTGTGGTGAGTAGTTGGTGAGTAGTTGGTGAGTGTGTGGTGAGTGAGTGGTGAGTGTGTGGTGAGTGAGTGGTGAGTAGTTGGTGAGTAGTTGCTGAGTGAGTGGTGAGAGTTGGTGAGTAGTTGGTGAGTAGTTGGTGAGTGAGTGGTGAGTGAGTGGTGAGTGAGTGGTGAGTAGTTGGTGAGTAGTTGGTGAGTGAGTGGTGAGAGTTGGTGAGTAGGTGGTGAGTAGGTGAGTGTGTGGTGAGTAGTTGGTGAGTAGTTGGTGAGTGTGTGGTGAGTAGTTGGTGAGTAGGTGGTGAGTGTGTGGTGAGTAGTTGGTGAGTAGTGGTGAGTAGTTGGTGAGTAGTTGGTGAGTGTGTGGTGAGTGAGTGGTGAGTGTGTGGTGAGTAGTTGGTGAGTAGTTGGTGAGTAGTTGGTGAGTGTATGGCGAGTGTGTGGTGACTGTGTGGCGAGTAGTTGGTGAGTAGTTGGTGAGTAGTTGGTGAGTAGTGGGTGAGTAGTTGGTGAGTAGTCATTGAGTAGTTGGTGAGTAGTTGGTGAGTAGTTGGTGAGTGTGTGGTGAGTGTGTGGTGAGTAGTTGGTGAGTAGTTGGTGAGTAGTTGGTGAGTAGTGGGTGAGTACCCTCCTCGTAGGCCTGGCACAGCTGCTGGATCTCCACGTTGCTCCTGGTGGCGAGCGTCTCGATCAGACACTTCTCGTCCGTGCCCAAGCCCTGCGGCACACAGACAAAGGTCCCCCGCGTAGCCTCCACGAGTCTGTAGGGGCAAGTGCTGTTCGCGAGCACCTATGAAGGCCGGCACGGCGCACGAGGGGGTGGGTGGCCAGCACCACGCCCAGCCGTCTTTGTCTGCCTAGTGGCGATGTTTACCAGGACCGGTTCGAATAATCGTCGCCGGCGTTGGCCGTGAGCGGGAATCGAACTCGGCTCGCCGGATTTCGTAGCGCAGCGTGGCGCTAACCGCTGCACCACCGCTCCCCACACACTCACACACCCACCCACACCAGCACACGTGGGTCCACAAACACACAGACCGGCACCGATGTAAATCGGCAGGTGAATACTGGTAGGAGCCTCCTGGTTACACCAGCCCACAGGGGATTATTGTGTCTGTCCGTCTGTCGTGCAGGGAGGGGCTGGGTGGGGAGGGGAGGGTGGGGAGGGAGGGTGGGGAGGGGCTGGGTGGGGAGGGAGGGGCTGGGTAGGGAGGGTGGGGAGGGGCTGGGTGAGGAGGGTGGGGCTGGGTGGGGAGGGTAGGGAGGGGCTGGATGGGGAGGGTGGGGCTGGGTGGGGGCTGGGAGGGGAGGGGCTGGGTGGGGAGGGGCTGGTCACCCGGTGGTGCCCTTATAAAACTCAACGTTTAACCTACTCACGCCGGCTTGTGCCCGCCCTCACAGTCGGGCATATTTGCGGAATACACCACGCCGCCGTTGACCCTGCAGGCCATTGACCGAGCAACCCAACGTTCCTACCAGCTCCCTCCGCAGGAAGAATGTGTTACACAAAGCCTTGGACAGACAGCCTGACGGACGGTCAGTGGACAGACAGGCGGAGAGTTGGAGAGGCAGACTGGAGGGAGGAGAGACTCAGAAACACACGGACGGCCACTGACGCGCGGACTGGGGCATGTGCACCTAGTCTGGCACCTTCATGGCCTTCTTGAGCTGCTTGACGAGGAAGACGGGCGGGGGGAGGAAGAGGGCGACAATGAGGCGCTCCAGACTGCCCGTCAGCTCCGACTTGAGATCCTTCAGCAGCTCCTACTCGCACACAGACAAAGGTCCCCCGTGTAGCCTTTACTCTGCCACTGGGGCAAGTGCTGCGAACGAGTGGCATCATGGCGGCGAGATGTTAATTACCTCGCCTGGTGTGCAGGAGGTCGTGGGCTCTATCCCGACCCTGATGCCTGCTGCTGTATATTTGAAATTTGCGTCTCTTTTTCATCATCATCACGGTGGCTAGGAGATGTTAACTACCTTGCCTGGTATACAGGAGGTCGTGGGTTCGATCCCGACCCTGACGCCTGCTGCTGTATATTTGGAGTTTGCGTGTCTCTCTCTCTCTCCCCGTGTCCGCGTGGATTTTTTTCCTCCGGTTTTCCCCTCGACGTTTAGGATCAACGTCACGACGCGTGTGGAGTGTTTGGCTGCTGCTATCAATGTCCACGTGATGAGCCACTTCGTTGGAAAAATCGAAAAACAACTGCATATAGCTTCAGCGAGCCTCACCTGGTGTGTACAGAGGGAAAAAAGTATTTGATCCCCTGCTGAAGGTTCGAGTTGCCAAACGTCAGCCTCGAAACCTTAATGACTTGGAGAAGATCTGCAAAGAGGAGACAAAATCCCTCCTGAGATGTGTGCAAACCTGGTGGCCAACTACAAGAAACGTCTGACCTCTGATTGCCAACAAGGGTTTTGCCACCAAGTACTAAGTCATGTTTTGCAGAGGGGTCAAATACTTATTTCCCTCATTAAAATGCAAATCAATTTATAACATTTTTGACATGAGTTTTTCTGGATTTTTTCGTTGTTATTCTGTCTCTCACTGTTCAAATAAACCTACCATTAAAATTATAGACTGATCATTTCTTTGTCAGTGGGCAAACGTACAAAATCAGCAGGGGATCAAATACTTTTTTCCCTCACTGTAGGTTAGAGTAGCACCTGTGAAGGAGGATGGTGTTGTGGCTACCACCACGCCCGGCCGCCTTTGTCTCCCCAACGCTGATGTGTATAAAACAACACCAGCAACTGCTCATCTAGATAACCATCAGCGGTGTCAATGACCGTAAGCGGGAACTGAACTCGGCTCTCTGGGCTTAAAGCGCAGCGAACGAACCACTGCACCACCGCTCCACACAAAGACAAAGGTCCCCCGTGTAGCCTTCAAAGACTGTTGGGGCAAGTGCTGTTCGCGAGCACCTACGAAGGTCGGCAAGGCACACGAGGTGATGGGTGGCCAGCACCACGCCCATCCGCCTTTGTCTCCCCAGTGCGGATAATTGCACACACCGCACCAGGTACTCATCTTGAGGCTGAGTCGACCTAGCGGAGGCCCAAACGGAAGCTGCTTGGGGAAGGCGGTGTGTGGGCACGTGGGCCACGTGACCCAGCCCACGCAACATCGCCTGCTGAGAGGAGACCACCGATAGTAACCGTGGCCAGGATATTGGAACGATCCGTGAGCTCCTCACGCTGCACCACAAGCAATCATCGTCGAGGTCGTGAAAACCACGGCGAGAATTTCTTTGGAACAAAAGCGGCGTTTTCTTTTGTCTTCACGTCAGCACCACGGCCCTCGACTCGCGTTGTTCAGACGCAACGGGTCCAACTTAGAGAATAGCGGCATCTCTTCAGCAAGGTGACAGAATCGATCGGTTGAGCCTTGAAGGATCTCAGAGGTACATGGAAACCCTCCCCGTAGAGAAAGCTTTCAATCGAAATCCCAAACCTCGTTAAGATTTCCATTTAAAGCTTTCTCGCGACTGCAGGGATTCATCTTCTCGGTTCTTTCGGTAAAGTCGCGTAGAAGGGAAACAACAAAAGAATAAAAATATAAAACAATACAAATTCTCACGACGTCTCGTTCAGATTCTCTGCATTCTGGATCGACTTTTCGTCCATCTTTCTGTCGCCGTTAACGCGCGTGTCAAAATCCGCGTTGGTGCCCTGTCAGAAACGAAATATATTGAGGGAATTGCACGGGAGAGAAAGTTGATTCTCCCTCCCTCTCTCTCTCTCATCCATGAAAACAAAATCATCAGCCCTCACACATCCCAGGCGGGATCGCGGGCAGACCGCCCCTCAAATGTTTCCAACCGGCGCAGATGCCCCATCAGAGGAGTTCACGATTCGAAAGCGTTCGCCAAGCGAGGCCGTGACCGTGGCCGAGAAGACCCGGACTCTCTTCCGCGTGCACATGACAAAGCGGCGTGACCACAGCGCTCGTGCCAGGCTAGGTGCACGTGTCACCTTGCCGTACCGCGGCGCTCGTGCCAGGCTAGGTGCACGTGTCACCTTGCCGTACTGCGGTGCTCGTGCCAGGCTAGGTGCACGTGTCACCTTGCCGTACCGCGGCGCTCGTGCCAGACCAGGTGCACGTGTCACCTTGCCGTACCGCGTCACCGTGCCAGGCTAGGTGCACGTCACCTTGCCGTACCGCGTCACCGTGCCAGGCTAGGTGCACGTGTCACCTTGCCGTACCGCGTCACCGTGCCAGGCTAGGTACACGTGTCACCTTGCCGTATCGCGTCACCGTGCCAGGCTAGGTGCACTTGTCACCTTGCCGTACATGGCCTTGAACTGGGTGACAATCTCCTGCCGCTGCACGTTGCTCCGGTGGGTAGCCACCTCCACGATGGCCGTCTCGTCCGTGCCTGGGGGGGGTGGGGGGGGGTGAGGGGGGTGGGGGGGGTGGGGGGGGGATGGGGGGGGGATGGGGGGGGGATGGGGGGTGATGGGGGGTGGGGGGGGGGATGGGGGGGGATGAGGGGGGGATGGGGGGGTGAGAGTGTGTTGCGCCCGAAACGTCATGATTTAATTTATTCTATTTTCTACCCACGTGACTTTACCGAAAGAACCAAAGAGTATGGATCTCTGGTGTCACGAAGAAAACTTCAAATCGAGATTGGTGGTGAGTGTGGTGAGAGTGGTGAGTGTGTCGTTTGGTGAGTTTGGTGAGTGTAGTGAGTGTGGTGAGTGTGGTGAGTCGTTTGGTGAGTGTGGTGAGTGTGTGGTGTGTGGTGAGTATGTGGTGAGCGTGTGGTGAGTGTATGATGAGTGGGGAGTGAGTGGTGAGTGAGTTGTGATTGTGTGGTGAGTGTGTGGTGAGGGAGTGGTGAGCGTGTGGTGAGTGTGTGGTGAGTGAGCGAATGGTGAGTGTGTGGTGAGTGAGTGGTGAGCGTGTGGTGAGTGTGTGGCGAGTGTGGTGAGTGTGTGGTGTGTGGTGAGTATGTGGTGAGCGTGTGGTGAGTGTATGATGAGTGGTGAGTGAGTGGTGAGGGAGTGGTGAGCGTGTGGTGAGTGTGCTGAGTGGTGAGTGTGTGGTGAGTGAGCGAATGGTGAGTGTGTGGTGAGTGAGTGGTGAGCGTGTGGTGAGTGTGTGGCGAGTGTGGTGAGTGTGTGGTGAGTGAGTGGTGAGTGTGTGTTGGGTGTGTGGTGAGTGTGTGGTGAGTGTGTGGTGAGTGAGTGGTGAGTGTGTGGTGAGTGAGTGTGTGGTGAGTGTGTGGTGAGTGTGTGGTGAGTGAGTGGTGAGTGTGTGGTGAGTGAGTGGTGAGTGTGTGGTGAGTGAGTGAGTGGTGAGTGTGTGGTGAGTGAGTGGTGAGTGAGTGGTGAGTGAGTGAGTGAGTGGTGAGTGAGTGGTGAGTGTGTGGTGAGTGAGTAGTGAATGTGTGGTGAGTGAGTGGTGAGTGTGTGGTGAGTGAGTGTGTGGTGAGTGAGTGAGTGGTGAGTGAGTGTGTGGTGAGTGAGTGGTGAATGTGTGGTGAGTGAGTGGTGAGTGTGTGGTGAGTGTGTAGTGAGCGTGTGTTGAGTGAGTGGTGAGTGTGTGGTGAGTGAGTGTGTTTTGAGTGAGTGGTGAGTGTGTGGTGAGTGAGTGGTGAGTGTGTGGTGAGTGAGTGTGTGGTGAGTGAGTGGTGAGTGAGTGTGTGGTAAGTGAGTGTGTGGTGAGTGAGTGTGTGGTGAGTGAGTGGTGAGTGTGTGGTGAGTGTGTGGTGAGTGAGTGTGTGTTGAGTGAGTGGTGAGTGTGTGGTGAGTGTGTGGTGAGTGAGTGGTGAGTGTGTGGTGAGTGAGTGGTGAGTGTGTGGTGAGTGAGTGGTGAGTGTGTGGTGAGTGAGTGGTGAGTGAGTGGTGAGTGTGTGGTGAGTGAGTGGTGAGTGTGTGGTGAGTGAGTGTGTGGTGAGTGAGTGGTGAGTGAGTGTGTGGTGAGTGAGTGGTGAGTGTGTGGTGAGTGAGTGGTGAGTGAGTTAGTGAGTGGTGAGTGAGTGTGTGGTGAGTGAGTGGTGAGTGTGTGGTGAGTGAGTGTGTGGTGAGTGAGTGAGTGAGTGGTGAGTGAGTGTGTGGTGAGTGGTGAATGTGTGGTGAGTGAGTGGTGAGTGTGTGGTGAGTGTGTGGTGAGTGTGTGTTGAGTGAGTGGTGAGTGTGTGGTGAGTGAGTGTGTGGTGAGTGAGTGGTGAGTGAGTGTGTGGTGAGTGAGTGGTGAGTGTGTGGTGAGTGAGTGGTGAGTGAGTGAGTGAGTGGTGAGTGAGTGGTGAGTGTGTGGTAAGTGAGTGTGTGGTGAGTGAGTGTGTGGTGAGTGAGTGGTGAGTGTGTGGTGAGTGTGTGGTGAGTGAGTGTGTGGTGAGTGAGTGGTGAGTGTGTGGTGAGTGAGTGGTGAGTGAGTGGTGAGTGAGTGGTGAGTGTGTGAGTGGTGAGTGTGTGGTGAGTGAGTGGTGAGTGAGTGAGTGGTGAGTGTGTGGTGAGTGAGTGTGTTTTGAGTGAGTGGTAAGTGTGTGGTGAGTGAGTGGTGAGTGTGTGGTGAGTGAGTGTGTGGTGAGTGAGTGGTGAGTGAGTGTGTGGTGAGTGAGTGGTGAGTGTGTGGTGAGTGAGTGGTGAGTGAGTGAGTGAGTGGTGAGTGAGTGGTGAGTGTGTGGTAAGTGAGTGTGTGGTGAGTGAGTGTGTGGTGAGTGAGTGGTGAGTGTGTGGTGAGTGAGTGTGTGGTGAGTGAGTGGTGAGTGTGTGGTGAGTGAGTGGTGAGTGAGTGAGTGAGTGGTGAGTGAGTGGTGAGTGTGTGGTAAGTGAGTGTGTGGTGAGTGAGTGTGTGGTGAGTGAGTGGTGAGTGTGTGGTGAGTGAGTGGTGAGTGAGTGGTGCGTGAGTGGTGAGTGTGTGGTGAGTGAGTGGTGAGTGAGTGTGTGGTGAGTGAGTGGTGAGTGAGTGAGTGGTGAGTGTGTGGTGAGTGAGTGGTGAGTGAGTGGTGAGTGAGTGAGTGGTGAGTGAGTGGTGAGTGAGTGGTGAGTGTGTGGTGAGTGAGTGGTGAGTGAGTGTGTGGTGAGTGAGTGGTGAGTGAGTGAGTGAGTGGTGAGTGAGTGGTGAGTGAGTGTGTGGTGAGTGAGTGGTGAGTGTGTGGTGAGTGAGTGGTGAGTGAGTGAGTGGTGGTGAGTGAGTGGTGAGTGTGTGGTAAGTGAGTGTGTGGTGAGTGAGTGTGTGGTGAGTGAGTGGTGAGTGTGTGCTGAGTGAGTGAGTGGTGAGTGAGTGGTGAGTGTGTGGTAAGTGAGTGTGTGGTGAGTGAGTGTGTGGTGAGTGAGTGGTGAGTGTGTGGTGAGTGTGTGGTGAGTGAGTGTGTGGTGAGTGAGTGGTGAGTGTGTGGTGAGTGAGTGGTGAGTGAGTGAGTGGTGAGTGAGTGGTGAGTGAGTGGTGAGTGTGTGGGTGAGTGAGTGGTGAGTGAGTGTGTGGTGAGTGAGTGGTGAGTGAGTGAGTGGTGAGTGTGTGGTGAGTGAGTGGTGAGTGAGTGGTGAGTGAGTGAGTGGTGAGTGAGTGGTGAGTGGGTGTGGAGTGAGTGGTGAGTGAGTGAGTGGTGAGTGAGTGGTGAGTGAGTGGTGAGTGTGTGGTGAGTGAGTGGTGAGTGAGTGAGTGGTGAGTGAGTGGTGAGTGAGTGGTGAGTGTGTGTGGCCTCACCAAACCCCTTCATTGCCCCGCGTAATTTCTCAGCATCAGCTGCGGGGTCAAACTCTGCACAAATAGCGAGAGTCTGCGAGACAGACAGACGAGACAGACAGGCGAGACAGACAGACACAAAGTGGTTAGTCTAACAATGTCGGCGGCTCTCTCCACCACCAATGCTGTCCACAACGAAGGTGTCTGGGGTGAGATCGCGCAAAGTACGAATGTGTCGTCACCCTCCACCACCCACCGCTGTGTTGTTGGAGAGTGACAGACCTTGACCTGACTGGCCGTGTCGGGTGGTGGAGGGTTACGACACATTCACACTCATGCGATCCAACACAACAACCTTTATTCATGGGACCAAGAGGTTGTAGACGAGAGAGAAGGGGGGGGGGGGGAGCGAGGGAGTGGGTTTGAGCAAACTTTAGATTTAAAATTGTTCGCTAAAGTCACGGAGGTAGAAGATAAAATAAATCAAATCACGACGTTTCGGGCGCAACGCACAAGCGTCCGTCGTCACGTGGGACAACCACACGCCGTGATTTAATTTATTTTATATCTGCGTGACTTTACCGAAAGAACCAAAGGGTGGGTTAGAGTGATGCCGGTCGCCCGGTCGTCGTTCACGGGGGAGATTCGTGGTGCAGCGGCAATGAAGACGACACAGAGAGACGACGAAGACGACTTCACGGGGTCCTTGATGGAAACGAAACTCGCGCGAATCGACAAAACCACGGCACAGGCTGTTTGGAGCAAGAAGCGACCGAAATAGCGACCTGGAGGTTTAACACGTGATAGTACCACGTGTCACCACCACGTGGTACCACCACGTGTCACCACCACGTGGTACCACCACGTGTCACCACCACGTGGTACCACCACGTGTCACCACCACGTGTTACTAACACGTGTTAAACCACCACGTGGGCAAAAACAGTAATTTGTGTTTCTTGCTGTGGTTGTCCCACCTGATGATGGAGCTTGTGTTGCTTCTGAAACGTCGTGATTTAATTTAGTTACTTCTATTTTTACCTACGTCACGAAAACTTCAAATGTAGAACTAGTGACCAGTTTCAGTACCAACCGGTTGTGTGTTGGAGGGTAAACGCAGGACAAGATTTAACACATTCCTGCTGCTGAAGGAGCTGGTAGGAACGTTGGGTTGCTCGGTCAATGGCCTGCAGGGTCAACGGCGGCGTGGTGTATCCCGCAAATATGGCCGACTGTGAGGGCGGGCACAAGCCGGCGTGAGTAGGTTAAACGTTGAGTTTTATAAGGGCACCACGGGGTGACCAGCCCCTCCCCACCCAGCCCCACCCCTCCCCACCCACCGAGCCCCCACCCAGTCCCTTCCCACCCAGCCCCTCCCCTCCCCACCCAGCCCTTCCCCACCCTTCCCTCCCCACCCAGCCCCTCCCCACCCTCCCCACCCAGCCCCACCTTCCCCACCTAGCCCCTCCCCACCCTCCCCTCCCCACCCAGCCCCTCCCTGCACGACGGACACAATAATCCCCTGTGGGCTGGTGTAACCAGGAGGTTCCTACCAGTACAATGCGAATAACCGTGACGTCTCGCCGGTGATCACAACAACAACGACGACAACAACAACAACGACGACGACGACAACAACAACAACCAGCATCGTCACCAGCAAGTTGCGAGGGGCTGGAGAGAGAGAGAGACTTGGCTACTCACTGCCATCGTGACGAGGAGCGACGATCAGCAGCGAGGTCCCCACTGAAACTGAGAAAGAGAAACAAAGGCGGTCGGGCGTGGCGTGTCGCTGGGTGCTACGACTCGCTAGCAGCACTTGCCCCTGCAGCCCGCGTTGGGCTACACGGGGGAGCTTTGCCTCTTGCGTGAATGTTGGAAAGTCGCCGATGTCGTTCTTGCGTAACGCGTGGGGGGGGGGGGGGTACAGTGAGTGAAAAAAGTATTTGATCCCCTGCTGATTTTGTACGTTTGCCCACTGACAAAGAAATGATCAGTCTATAATTTTAATGGTAGGTTTATTTGAACAGTGAGAGACAGAATAACAACAACAAAATCCAGAAAAACGCATGTCAAAATGTTATAAATTGATTTGCATTTTAATGAGGGAAATAAGTATTTGAACCCCTCTCAATCAGAAAAATTTCTGGCTCCCAGGTGTCATTTATACAGGTAACGAGCTGAGATTAGGAGCACACTCTTAAAGGGAGTGCTCCTAATCTCAGCTTGTTACCTGTATAAAAGACACCTGTTCACAGAAGCAATCAATCAATCAGATTCCAAACTCTCCACCATGGCCAAGACCAAAGAGCTCTCCAATGATGTCAGGGACAAGATTGTAGACCTACACAAGGCTGGAATGGGATACAAGACCATCGCCAAGCAGCTTGGTGAGAAGGTGACAACAGCTGGTGCGATTATTCGCAAATGGAAAAAACACAAAAGAACTGTCAATCTCCCTCGGCCTGGGGCTCCATGCAAGATCTCACCTCGTGGAGTTGCAATGATCGTGAGAACGGTGAGGAATCAGCCCATAACTACACGGGATGATCTTGTCAATGATCTCAAGGCAGCTGGGACCATAGTCACCAAGAAAACAGTTGGTAACACACTACGCCATGAAGGACTGAAATCCTGCAGCGCCCGCAAGGTCCCCCTGCTCAAGAAAGCACATATACATGCCCGTCTGAAGTTTGCCAATGGACATCTGAATGATTCAGAGGACAACTGGGTGAAAGTGTTGTGGTCATATGAGACCAAAATGGAGCTCTTTGGCATCAACTCAACTCGCCGTGTTTGGAGGAGGAGGAATGCTGCCTATGACCCCAAGAACACCATCCCCACCGTCAAACATGGAGGTGGAAACATTATGCTTTGGGGGTGTTTTTCTGCTAAGGGGACAGGACAACTTCACCGCATCAAAGGGACGATGGACGGGGCCATGTACCGTCAAATCTTGGGTGAGAACCTCCTTCCCTCAGCCAGGGCATTGAAAATGGGTCGTGGATGGGTATTCCAGCATGACAATGACCCAAAACACACGGCCAAGGCAACAAAGGAGTGGCTCAAGAAGTAGCACATTAAGGTCCTGGAGTGGCCTATCCAGTCTCCAGACCTTAATCCCATAGAAAATCTGTGGAGGGAGCTGAAGGTTCGAGTTGCCAAACGTCAGCCTCGAAACCTTAATGACTTGGAGAAGATCTGCAAAGAGGAGTGGGACAAAATCCCTCCTGAGATGTGTGCAAACCTGGTGGCCAACTACAAGAAACGTCTGACCTCTGTGATTGCCAACAAGGGGTTTTGCCACCAAGTACTAAGTCATGTTTTGCAGAGGGGTCAAATACTTATTTCCCTCATTAAAATGCAAATCAATTCATAACATTTTTGACATGCGTGTTTCTGGATTTTGTTGTTGTTATTCTGTCTCTCACTGTTCAAATAAACCTACCATTAAAATTATAGACTGATCATTTCTTTGTCAGTGGGCAAACGTACAAAATCAGCAGGGGATCAAATACTTTTTTCCCCTCACTGTAACCTGTGGTGGGGTAACCTGTGGTGGGGTAACCTGTGGTGGGGTAACGCGTGGTGGGGTAACCTGTGGTGGGGTAACGCGTGGTGGGGTAACGCGTGGTGGGGTAACCTGTGGTGGGGTAACGCGTGGTGGGGTAGCCTGTGGTGGGGTAACGCGTGGTGGGGTAACGCGTGGTGGGGTAACGCGTGGTGGGGTAACGCGTGGTGGGGTAACGCGTGGTGGGGTAACCTGTGGTGGGGTAACGCGTGGTGGGGTAGCCTGTGGTGGGGTAACGCGTGGTGGGGTAACCTGTGGTGGGGTAACGCGTGGTGGGGTAACGCGTGGTGGGGTAACGCGTGGTGGGGTAACCTGTGGTGGGGTAACGCGTGGTGGGGTAACGCGTGGTGGGGTAACCTGTGGTGGGGTAACGCGTGGTGGGGTAACGCGTGGTGGGGTAACCTGTGGTGGGGTAACCTGTGGTGGGGTAACGCGTGGTGAGGTAACCTGTGGTGGGGGTAACCTGTGGTGGGGTAACGCGTGGTGGGGTAACGCGTGGTGGGGTAACCTGTGGTGGGGTAACGCGTGGTGGGGTAACGCGTGGTGGGGTAACGCGTGGTGGGGTAACCTGTGGTGGGGTAACGCGTGGTGGGGTAACGCGTGGTGGGGTAACCTGTGGTGGGGTAACCTGTGGTGGGGTAACGCGTGGTGAGGTAACCTGTGGTGGGGTAACCTGTGGTGGGGTAACGCGTGGTGGGGTAACCTGTGGTGGGGTAACCTGTGGTGGGGTAACGCGTGGTGGGGTAACGCGTGGTGGGGTAACGCGTGGTGGGGTAACCTGTGGTGGGGTAACCTGTGGTGGGGTAACCTGTGGTGGGGTAACGCGTGGTGGGGTAACGCGTGGTGGGGTAACGCGTGGTGGGGTAACCTGTGGTGGGGTAACCTGTGGTGGGGTAACGCGTGGTGGGGTAACGCGTGGTGGGGTAACCTGTGGTGGGGTAACCTGTGGTGGGGTAACCTGTGGTGGGTAACGCGTGGTGGGGTAACGCGTGGTGGGTAACCTGTGGTGGGGTAACCTGTGGTGGGGGTAACCTGTGGTGGGTAACGCGTGGTGGGGTAACGCGTGGTGGGGTAACCTGTGGTGGGGTAACCTGTGGTGGGGTAACCTCTTTATAGTGAATATCCACAGGAAACGATGAACGCTTTAATTCCTCTTGGAAGCGGTCGTTGAATCTCAAAATGGTTCGCGGTTTAAGGTTCCCGTGGAACAAGCCGCGTCTCTGTGCCCCCCCCCCCACCCCTCCCCCCCCCACACCCCTCCTCCCCCACCCCTCTCCCCCCCACCCCTCCCCTCCATCCCCCCCACCCTCCCCTCTCCCACATCCCCCACCCCTCCAGCCTCCCCTCCCACCCACATCCCCCCACCCCTCCAGACCCCCCCCCCCACATCCCCCCACCCCTCCCCCCCCACACCCCTCCTCCCCCACGCCCCTCCCCTCCATCCCCCCACCCTCCACCTCCCCTCTCCCTCACCCCTCCAGCCTCCCCCCCACATCCCCCCTCCCCCCACCCCACCCCTCCCCTCCACCCTCCCCCCACCCCCCTCCCCCTCTCCTGCTGCAGCAGCTGCGCAGTCATCGCCGCTGGCCACGGGCACCGTGGAAATCCCGGCGCTGCGGACTCCCCGTGCAGGGATCGGGATTTGTTTAAGTTTCCATCCCATCTCCCGGCGCGGCAGGTTAAGACAATGAGTGGGGGGGCAAGTTTCTACCCCCCCCCCCCCCGTGTGTTAAACAACAAGCGCAGTCGCTATGGGGACGGGGGTTGGGGGGGGCGATGGGGGTCACGTGTCGCGCAGTCGCCCCAATGCCCTCTGCAGCTGCAGCGGCAGCAGCAGCGGCCTCGAGTGGAGCCGCCAGCCACGGCACTTGCAGGGCCGCGCCTTTAGCGCCACGCCGAAGAGTCGCTGCCTCGCGCTACCCCCACATGGCAGCTACACACGAGCGGAAAGGTGTCGCCTTAGCCCGAACCCATGTCATCATCACCAGCAGCAGCAGCAACAGGAGACGTGGTCTATCAACTGCTGGATGAATGCCTACGCGAGCTGCCGCCACCTCCCACGAGCCTCTAAACCACAGCCGTGGAAACTCCACATTCCCATGACGAGGCGGTGATAACCCCGTCAACACAGCTGACTTTCCACGACATCGTGCCCCTTGTATCGATGCCCGTGCAATGATGGTGACGATGATGATGATGATTCCCATAACGGGACCCTCACCTCGGCCACTGCGTTCCTCCCAGAGATGCTTGTGCCCCGACTGGGGAAGTATGGCTCCTCCCTATAGCCCCTCCTGGCTCCTCCCTCTAGCCCCTCCTGGCTCCTCCCACCTCCCCCTGGCTCCTCCCACCTCCCGCTGGCTCCTCCCTGCTCCACCCCTCCTGGCTCCTCCCACCTCCTCCTGACTCCTCCCACCTCCCCCTGGCTCCTCCCACCATCCCCTTGGCTCCTCCCACCTCCCCCTGGCTCCTCTCTCTGGCTCCTCCCACCTCCCCTTGGCTCCTCCACCTCCCCTTGGCTCCTCCCACCTCCCCTTGGCTCCTCCCACCTCCCCCTGGCTCCTCCCCCTGGCTCCTCCCACCTCCCCTTGATTCCTCCCACCTCCCCTTGGCTCTTCTCTCTGGCTCCTCCCACCTCCCCTTGGCTCCTCCCACCTCCCCCCTGGCTCCTCCCACCTCCCCCTGGCTCCTCCCCCCCTCCCCCTGGCTCCTCCCACACTCCCCCTGGCTCCTCTCTCTGGCTCCTCCCACCTCCCCTTGATTCCTCCCACCTCCCCTTGGCTCTTCTCTCTGGCTCCTCCCACCTCCCCTTGACTCCTCCCACCTCCCCCTGGCTCCTCCCACACTCCCCCTGGCTCCTCCCACACTCCCCCTGGCTCCTCTCTCTGGCTCCTCCCACCTCCCCTTGGCTCCTCCCCCTGGCTCCTCCCACCTCCCCTTGGCTTCTCCCTCTGGCCCCTCCCCATTCCCCCTGGCTCCGCCCTCCTCCTCTTGGCCACACCCTTTTATACATGCATCCTCCCATTAGCTCCTCCCTCCGTCTGGCTCCTCCCATTAGCTCCTCCCTCCACTCCTTGACCCCCTCCCCATCTTCATCTGGCCCCTCCCTCCGACTCCCCCCCCCCCCAACTCGCTGGCTCCTCCCACCCCCTCACTTTGGCTCCTCCTCCTCCTCGTCATGACTAATCCTGTCACGCGATTGGCTGCAGGGCCGAGTCGCGGCCACGACCATAGCGGGAACTCTCCGCCAATGGGCGAGCGAGCTCGCGCCGCGGACAGCCAATCAGGGCGCGCGCTTATTTATAGTCGCTTCGGCGAGTGCCACGAATAGTTTCGGGATTCATCCCACACAGCAGAAATCTGCGCAGCCTGCAAGATAGAAATCCGCGCAGCTCACCGGCTTAATCAAGGGTTTTCCCTCTCATGCACATGTTAGAAATCTCCGCAGCCCGCAAGATAGAAATCCGCGCAGCTCCCTGGTAGAATCAAGGGGTTTCCCTCTCATGCACACGGCAGAAATCTGCGTGGACCGCAAGAGAGAAATCCGCTCAGCTCCACGGCAGAATCAAGAGTTTTCTCTCTCATGCACACGATAGAAATCCGTGGAGCCCGCAAGATAGAAATCCGCGCAGCTCCTCGGTAGAATCAAGGGTGTGGCTGTGTGTGTCTGTGTGTGTGTTTGTGTGTGTCTGTGTGTGTTGTGCGTGTGTGTGTGTTGTGTGTCTGTGTGTCTGTGTGTGTGTTTATGTGTCTGTGTGTGTGTTTGTGTGTCTGTGTGTGTCTGTGTGTGTGTGTCTGTGTGTCTGTGTGTGTGTTATGTGTCTGTGTGTGTGTGTCTGTGTGTGTGTCTGTGTGTGTCTGTGTGTGTGTTTGTTTGTCTGTGTGTGTGTCTCTGTGTGTGTCTCTGTGTGTGTGTGTTTGTGTGTCTGTGTGTGTCTCTGTGTGTGTCTGTGTGTGTCTGTGTGTGTGTTTGTGCGTGTGTCTGTGTGTGTGTTTGTGTGTCTGTGTGTGTGTCTCTGTGTGTGTGTGTTTGTGTGTCTCTGTGTGTGTCTGTGTGTCTGTTTGTTTGTCTGTGTGTGTGTCTGTGTGTGTGTCTCTGTGTGTGTGTGTTTGTGTGTCTGTGTGTGCCTGTGTGTGTGTCTGTGTGTGTGTCTCTGTGTGTGTGTCTGTAGTGGGGAGCGGTAGTGTAGCGGTTAGCGCGCTGCGCTATGAACCTGGCGACCCGTGTTCGATTCCCGCTCACGGCTAACACCAGTGACGATTATCTGAACCGGTCCTGGGCCTCCCCTAGGTCGACTCAGCCTTAAATGAGTACCTGGTGCGGTGTTGCAAACATCGCTACTGGGGAGACAAAGGCGGTCGGGCGTGGTACTGGCCACCCACCCCCCCGTGTACCGTTCCGGCCTTCATAGGTGCTCGCTAACAGCACTTGTCCCTACAGTCTGTTAAGGCTATACGGGGGATCTTTGTCTTTTGTGTCTGTGTGTCTGGCAAAAAAAAAACCCTACCTCCTAGTGGTGCCGGACGCCAATGCATGTGGTGGGCAGTGCCGTGGGATGAGGGCCAATTTAAATTGGCTTTTTCCTTCATGGCGTTTGTAACCACTACAGCGGCCAAATGGGGGCTCTGGATGGGTGCGAGGGGCTGGTAACCCCTCCACCTTCAACGAACTACCACTAAACTACGATGCAAAAAACGTATTAAGCTTGTGCCGGAGGCCCCAGGGGGACAGGCGTCTATGACGTCTCCTGGCCAAACCCCATTTGGCGGAGCCAGGAGACTGAATCCTTACCATCGGGGCTCCTCCAGAAACAACAAAAACCACTACGTGTGGCCACGTGGAATGTTCGAACGCTCACTGCGGAGGAGAGGATCCCACTCCTCTGTCGGGAGCTGGAACGGTCCCGCCTGGATCTCTGTGGTGTTCAGGAGGTCCGGTGGATCGGCTCTGGCTCCTGCCACCATGAGGGGTGGACAGTCCTCTACTCGGGGCAGGAGACTGCCAAACAACAGGGTGTGGGAGCGTGGCGGTTAGGTGTGGGAAGCTGTAAGCCCCAGGATACTTTGGACTCGCCATCCCATCAACCAGAGGCGAAGAGTGGTGGTCGTGGTTACGTATGCCCCCACCGAAGATGAACATCCGTGGAGGGATTCAGGCAAGGCCGATGTGTCAGATGCCTTCTATGACCTCCTGTCACAGGTGCTAGCTAAAGTTGCCCCTCGGGACAGAGTCATCTTGTTGGGTGACTTCAATGCCCGAGTTGGTCATGATGCTAGCACCTGGTCTGAAGTGATTGGAAGACATGGGCCAGATCAGCTCAATAACAACGTTAGGAGGCTGCTAGATTTTTGTGCAGCCCATGGGCTTGTAATTACCAACATGCTGTTCCGGCATTGGCACATCCACACATGATGGATGCATGCCGGTTCCAAGCAAGAACATCTGCTGGACTACATAGTAACGGAACAGCGGATGTGGGCCCATGTCCTTGACACCAGGACCTACCGTGGAGCTGATCTGCCCACTGACCATCGACTTGTCATCTGTAAGATGCGCCTGCCATTCTTCCACTCTGGTGGTGGGTGTACACCCAGGACCTCATTCAAACCCATCGTGGCATGGTCTCAGCTAGCTGATGAAAGTTGCAAGCGAGAATTTCATCATCGCTTGTGGCTGGGGTTGGCATCGTCCTCCACTCCTCCTGATGTCGAGGAGAAATGGGCGAGGTTTAGGACTGTGGCTCATGCAGCTGCAATGGCTGTTTTGGGTACATGGTCCAGACCTCCTCAAAAACCCTGGCTGACAGAGGAGGTGTTCAGGCTGGCTGAGAAAAGCGACAGGCCCACTCTCATCGTCTACAGCATCCAACGTCAGAGAACGAGGAGGCTTACCGCAGCCATCGCTCGGAGGTATGGAGGGCCGTGAGGCGCTGCAAGGATGGTTGGTGGTCGCGGGCCGCTGAGGAGATGGAGTCTGCCTCAATGGCCCGCGATCACAAATCGCTTTTTAATTCCCTTCATTCTTTTGTTCAGGGGTCCTGGGGGAGGGGAAATCCCTCAGCCTGGAAAACATCGTGGGACAAAGTGGGGATGACCCTGCTGAGGCTGTGGTGCCTCAAATATTGGAAGAGAAAGTCACCCCCTGTGAGTGGCCGGCTGAGGTGCCATCTGTTGAGGAAGTACTGAAGGCGATCCAGAGCCTGAGACCAGGAAAGGCACGGGGCAGAGATGATATCCCAAGCAAAATGCTGAGGGAGTGTGGCATTTGTGCACAGACTGCCCTATATGACATCATAACAACAGTCTGGACTACTGGGTGGGTTCCGCAGGATTGAAAGGATGCCCTGGTGGTTCCCCTCTTTAAAAGGGGGACCTCACAGACTGTAACAACAACAAGGGCATCTCACTCCTCAGTGTGACGGGAAAGGTCCTGGAAATAATAATTCAACATCGCCTTGCCAGGCACGCTGAGGAGAGGCTTGCGGAGCCCCAATGCGGTTTCAGGAAAGGGCGGTCCTGAACAGATGCCATATTTTCTGTCCGTCTGCTACAGCAGAGGTGTAGGGAATTCCGACAAGACCTAAATCTCTGATTTATTGACCTGGTCAATGCACTATGATACCATCAGTAGGCCTGGGCTCTGGGTTGTTCTTCGTGCTGACCCGCTGCTCACGATCATTAAGGACCTTCATGATGGTGAGCAGGCCCGGGTAAAACTACGTGGCCGGGAGTCAGAGCCATTCCCTGTTCACTTTGGGGTGCGACAGGGATGTCCTCTGGCTCCAACATTATTTAACATCTATTTCGACCATGTAGTTCGTGAAGCCTTGAATAGCTGTACCGGAGGAATTACCATCTGGTACAGATGCAACGGGAGGCTGATCGATGCCCGAGTGCGGTCAAGGGATGGCTCCCTATCGGTCAACCACGTTATATATGCCGATGATCTGGTAATCGCTGCTCACTCAGAGGAGGAGTTGGAGACGCTGCTGCTGAGACTGGAGCGTGCCACTAAGGAGTGGGGCCTTACCATCAGCCCCACTAAAACTAAGCACCTGCCTGGGTATTTTGTACCATCGGACACTCCACCCCCACAACTCCCAATCGGTGATGGGGCAGTAGTGGAGAGAGTGGAGAGTTTCCCATACCTGGGCAGTGTGCTTATGACTGGCTCCAGTTTAACAGCACAGGTCTCATTCCGAATCAGTCGAGTGGCAATATCTTTTCATCGGTTACGTAATGCTGTGTGGAAGCTACCTAGTCTGTCGCTCCGCACGAAGCTTCAGGTCTTCTCGGTCACAGTCATTCCCTCCCTTGTCTACGCTTGCGAAACGTGGACCCACCTGATGGAGCATCTTCGCCGGTTGGAAATATTTAGGCTGGCCTGCCTACGATCCATCCTGGGTTTAACCAGGCTGGATTGTGAGGAGCTCACAAGTCCTTGAAATATCTGGGCAGGGTCCCATCGGTGAGCTCCTCCCGCAGACAAGGCTGCGGTGGCTGGGTCATGTAGCCCGCATGCCCAGCCACCGCATGCCTAAACAGCTTTTGTTCGACCAGATCGAGGGGGCTAAACGGGCGCGGCATGGGCTAGAGAAGAGATGGCGTGATGTGGTACAGGAGGACGTGGAACTGAGTGGACTTGCCGATGACTGGTACCAGCGGTGTCAAGATCGGCCTCTTTGGAGGAGGCTCGTGAAGGACGCTACTGGGCAGTTGGAGGCAGTCGCCCTCCAACAACAACGGAGGGCGGAGGAGCGACGCTCACAACAACGAGCGGAGCGCCGGGTGGCTAAAGCCCAGCAAGTTGCCACAGTAGGGGGCACAGGTGGTGCATCAGCCAGTCATCTCGGTCATCTCGGTCAGTCGACCCGTGGCACCTGCTGGGTCTGCCCCGTGACCTCCTGCCAGCGGGCGTTCAACACTTCACGTGGCCTCAAGGTGCACATGGCCTGGCACAAGCGTCGTGGTGACGTCACCGCCACTTAGTGGCGAATGGCGGTTGTTGTGTCTGTGTGTATCTGCATGCATGGGGGTTGTGGGGAACGGTGGCGCAGCGGTTAGCGCTGCACCGCGCGAGCCCGGCGACCCGAGTTCGATTCCCGCTCACGGCCACCAACATCTCTGACGATTACCTGAACCTGTTGGGCCTCCCCTAGGTCGACTCAGCCTTCAAACGAGTACCTGCTGCGATGTGTAAAACTACGTCGTCACTGGGAAGACAAAGGTTCTGAACCCCCGCTCATCACTCGTGTGCCGTGCCGGCCGTCAGCGGTGCCGCGACTCGCTAGCAGCACTTGCCCCAACAGCCCGCGTGGGCTACACGGGGGAGCTTTGCCTTGTGTGTGCACGTTGTGGAGGCTGTTGATGTCGTCCTTGCGTAACCGGGGAGCCGCATCAAACCCCACGGCCCGTACCGGTGTTGACACTTAATATCGGCTGGTCGCGTTGTGGTGGGGTAAAGTGTGGGTAACCACACCTCTCTATCCTGAAAACCCACTGGAGACGATCTACGGCTGAGGCTATACGGGGTGGGGGGGAGGTGGATCCCTATGTGCTGTGTGTGTTGTACTCTCTGCAAAACAACTGCCTCTGCAATCATCATTGCAGTCATTCGCGACCGGGCAAAAGAAACCACAAGCGTGCAACCCGGGGGGGGGGGGGGGGAATCTCCAGGGGGGGCGATGGGATTCCTCGGCGCGATTCTTGTGAGCGGAGTCAGTCGGTCAACCCCGCGTGGCACCGCGGGTCAGTCCCGTGACCTCCTCCTCCTGCCTGCAGCAGCAGCGAGCCTTCCATCCTAGACGATACGACCCCAATGGATCTTTGTCTGGGTGTGTGTGTGCCTGTGTGTGTGCGCCTGTGTGTGGGGAGCGGTGGTGTAGCGGTTAGCGCTACCCTGCGCTACAAACCTGGCGACCCGGGTTCGATTCCCGCTCACGGCCAACACCAGTGACGATTATCTGAACCGGTCCTGGGCCTCCCCTAGGTCGACTCAGCCTCAAATGAGTACCTGGTGCAGTGTGTAAACATCGCCGCTAGGGAGACAAAGGCGGCCGGGCGTGGTGTTGGTCACCCACCCCCTCGTGTGCCGTGCCGGCCTTCATAGGTGCTTGCTAACGGCACTTGCCCCTACAGTCTGTGAAGGCTGTACGGGGGATCTTTGTCTTTTTTATCTTTGTGAAGCTGGCTGAAATGAGATACTCGGCGGCGGTGCTGACGATTAAGCAGAGTCGTTTAATCGGGTCACGCGTTCCAGATGTTACAGTCGGTCAGGCATGCGTCGCAGGCAAAGACAAACCGCTTGGCATCGGGGCTTCATTGCACACGGAGCTGTCCGGGGCTGAGCTCTGGAATATACCCCCCCCCACTCCCCACTTATAGGGTAGTGGTGGGGGGTGAGTGGGGGGGACCCGGACAATATTCCGTGAGAAATTAAAAGTCCTAATCATCATCTTCATCATCATCGTGAATATCGTCATTAACACTGCTATTGTTGACACTTTGTGAGTAGTATTATTACTACAAACTAAAGAGCTAGTGAGGTTATCGGTGGTGATGGTGTCCAAAGTGATGGTGTTAGTGATGGTGGATTTGTAGTACTGTGGTGGTGGTGTTGATGGTATTCTTAGGTTTTTTCGGTAAAGTCACGTAGGTTAAAACATTAATAAAAGTAAAATAAAAAATAAAATTTAAAAAACCACGTTTCGGAGGCAACACAAGCTTTCGTCTTCAAACGTCGTGATTTTTATTTTATTTTTATTTTACTTTTATTAATTAAAACATTTTACCTACGTGACTTTACCGAAAAAACCTAAGAATATGAATCCTTGCAGTCACGAAAGCTTCAAATCTGGTGTTGATGGCGTTAGTCGCAGTGGTGGTGATTGGAAGTGATGGTTATAGCGATGCTGTTGATGCGTCATGGTTGTGTGATGTGAGAGTAATCGTGATGGTTGCGATGGTTGTATGATGTCAGCTCCAATCTCACCCGGGAAATGTATGAAGTTCCTGTACTTGCACAACAAAAGGAAGACAAAGACGGCTGCATTTTCACAGCTTATGGCATCAAAAATTAGAAATCCGCGGAAGCTCCACCACTCTCACCCTTAAATCCGCCCGAACTTTCAGTACCGCTCCACTGCTAGATTAGGGCCCTCCGCACGCTGTGCAGGTCGTTGTGGGGAAGGGTGGGGGGGTTATTTGACCATACTTCACCACGCTGGTCAATGCTGGTGGCTGATGATTGCTTCGGAGTATGGCAGCTGAATGGGAGCAAGTTTTCAAAATCACCCCGCACCCTCCCCAGCGCCTTTGTCCACCCCGCGGCGTAATCGCCACAGCCGGAGTGAGCGAGCAATTGCAGGGCTGCGCCTTTACCCCTTTCCGGCCACCACGACGAGGCGGTGGGCTGTCAACGGAACGGGATGTCGGGAACTTCCGCGGATTACGGATGACCCAGGACACGCGTACTGAGGGACAGCCAAGACCTCACCGCTGAGCAATGTTGGAAATCTGCGGCAGCACCCGATACCCCCCCCCCCCCCCAGACGGACTCGCGTTTCCCCACGGGACGCACAGAAGACACTCGAATGCTAAAAATGAACACGAGGACTTGCAGCATCCAGAGGTGGGAGACGCCGAGATTCAGCCGGGATCTTGTCGACTCGTAGAGACCCACAGACTCACACAGTGACTCATAGACTCACACAGTGACTCATAGACTCACACAGTGACTCATAGACTCATAGACTCTATGCGAGTCTATGGGTCTCTGTGGGAGTCTATGGGTCTCTACGCGAGTCTATGAGTCTCTACGTGAGTCTATGGGTATCTGTGTGAGTCTATGGGTCTCTGTGTGAGTCTGTGGGTCTCTGTGTGAGTCTGTGGGTATCTGTGTGAGTCTATGGGTCTCTGTGTGTATAGTCTATTGGTCTCTGTGTGAGTCTATGGGTCTCTGTGTGAGTCTATGGGTCTCTGAGTGAGTCTATGGGTCTCTGTGTGAGTCTATGGGTCTCCGTGTGAGTCTATGGGTCTCTGTGTGAGTCTATGGGTCTCTGTGTGAGTCTATGGGTCTCTACGTGAGTCTATGGGTCTCTGTGCGAGTCTATGGGTCTCTGTGTGAGTCAATGGGTCTCTACGTGAGTCTATGGTTCTCTGTGTGAGTCTATGGGTCTCTGTGTGAGTCTATGGGTCTCTACGTGAGTCTATGGATCTCTGTGTGAGTCTATGGTTCTCTGTGTGAGTCTATGGGTCTCTGTGTGAGTCTATGGTCTCTGTGTGAGTCTATGGGGCTCTGTGTGAGTCTATGGGTCTCTGTGTGAGTCTATGGGTCTCTACGTGAGTCAATGGGTCTCTGTGTGAGTCTATGGGTCTCTGTGTGAGTCTATGGGTCTATACGTGAGTCTATGGATCTCTGTGTGAGTCTATGGGTCTCTGTGTGAGTCTATGGGTCTCTGTGTGAGTCTATGGATCTCTGTGGGAGTCTATGGGTCTCTGTGTGAGTATATGGGTGTCTGTGTTGAGTCTATGGGTCTCTGTGTGTATAGTCTATTGGTCTCTGTGTGAGTCTATGGGTCTCTGTGTGAGTCTATGGGTCTCTGAGTGAGTCTATGGGCCTCTGTGTGAGTCTATGGGTCTCTACGTGAGTCTATGGATCTCTGTGTGAGTCTATGGTTCTCTGTGTGAGTCTATGGGTCTCTGTGTGAGTCTATGGTCTCTGTGTGAGCCTATGGGGCTCTGTGTGAGTCTATGGGTCTCTGTGTGAGTCTATGGGTCTCTACGTGAGTCAATGGGTCTCTGTGTGAGTCTATGGGTCTCTGTGTGAGTCTATGGGTCTATACGTGAGTCTATGGATCTCTGTGTGAGTCTATGGGTCTCTGTGTGAGTCTATGGATCTCTGTGGGAGTCTATGGGTCTCTGTGTGAGTCTATGGGTCTCTGTGTGAGTCTATGGATCTCTGTGGGAGTCTATGGCTCTCTGTGTGAGTCTATGGGTGTCTCTGTGTGAGTCTATGGCTCTCTGTGTGAGTCTATGGGTGTCTCTGTGTGAGCCTATGGGGCTCTGTGTGAGTCTATGGGTCTCTGTGCGAGTCTATGGGTCTCTACGTCTATGGGTCTCTGTGTGAGTCTATGGGTCTCTGTGTGAGTCTATGGGTCTCTGTGTGAGTCTATGGGTCTCTGTGTGAGTCTATGGGTCTCTGTGTTAGTCTATGGGTCTCTGTGTGAGTCTATGGGTCTCTACGTCTATGGGTCTCTGTGTGAGTCTATAGTTCTCTGTGTGAGCCAATTTAAGTACAGTGAAGTACTAAAAAAAATAGTGGTAGCGAGAGGAGCTTCCGCGGATTTTTTACTTTTATATTTTCAGCACCCGCCTCTCGTAGAAATCCGCGGCAGTTCCTCCCGCCCGAGGTGGGTGCGGACGAACTTCCGCGGATTTCTCCCTTCGCTGCGGCTGCCTTTCCTCGTCTTCCCTCGTTGAAATCCGCGGGATCGTCAGATTCCTCCAGTCTAAATACAGATTCTGATTCTGAAGTGGAGGGGTTGGGGGTGGGGGGAGGAGGTGACTTCCACGGATTTCTTCCACCGCTGTCCCCCACCCTCCTCGATCGCTCAGTCATCGCCTCCGCACAGCTGGATGAGCGCCCGCTTGTAGTCGCCCGATGTGTCGCCCTGTTGAGACGCAAGTGAAATTCCAACCACGGCCACTCCAAGTACACTCACTGGTCAACAACAACAAAAACATTTTTTTATGGCCTGCACTTTTGCAGCTGTTCTAGACTAATTTCAGGGTGCCGATTCCAAATCTGATCTCAGATTTGCTCTATCACATCTCATTTTTAAATCTTTTATATTAAGTTCGCTTGCGCGCTTGCGCGCTTACGACCGTGCAAATCTTTCGGTCGTTTTTTAACCCACTTCCCGTGATCCAATCGAGCTGACATTTTGCACACAGACTCGTTGTGCGTGACAATTAATTTTCGTGAAAATATTTCTCAAAAATTTTACACTGTTTAGGAAAAAATTAATTATATTTAATTACCAATTGCTTAATGGTGGCAGGCAATCATCTGACCCATAGGTGGCAGCCATCTCAAGCCAGAGGACGAGAGGACTCGAGCCGCCACGCATATAAAGGATTTATAGTGAAAAACTTTGTTTTTACGGGTTAATTTTTTATGCTATCGGCATACCCCATTTTCATTGATTTTACCCGAAATTAATTCTGTCACTTATGATTGCAGGTTGTTGCGAGTCAGTGACTGCTTTAGTGTTAAAATATGGTGCTGTATTTTTAGGAAAGTGTGTTTGTAATATCATTTTATGTAGATATCCACATTTATTTTATATTTTTCTTCTGCAGTTTTTATTGAAAATGCAATATTTGATATGTCAAAAACCTGATGTGATAGACAAAAACTGATGACCCCAAAATTACCTTGAAACCGTTGGAATACCTTATGCCAGAAAAAGTGTGTTGACCAGTGTTATTATAACCACGCTCATCTCCCCGGGACAGCCTCACTGAGTCCCAAGGCTCATGTTCAGGAGGGTCGTGCCAACTGTTTTCCCGTCGTGGACAATCCGAGTACATTTTAACACGTGGTCCGTGACGTCAAGGGGTCTTTAACGTCCACTGTGAGTGAAGCACACGGGCTGTGTGGCTTTGGTAGGTTACGATTAACGCACTCCGCGGTATTAACCAGGGCGGCCGCGCAGGTTCGAACCGCGAACCTCTGTAACCAGCGGGCGAGCGCGCTACCGCCCGGCCATTATGTCACCGCTTGGGTCAAGGGTCACGGTCAGGGTTAGGGTTCGGGGTCACGTTTGACTTTGGAGTTGGGGGCCAATTGAGGGCTAATGTCTGGGTCACAATTTGCATTTGGCGTGAGCTTGTGTGTACAGCAAGTGTGTATGTGTGTGTGTATGTGTGTGTGTCTCTGTGTGTGTGCGGGTGTGTGGTTGTGTGTGTGGCTATGTGTGTGTGGCTGTGTGTGTGGCTTTGTGTGTGTGTGTGGCTGTGTGTGTGGCTGTGTGTGTGTGTGGCTGTGTGTGTGTGTGTGTCTCTGTGTGTGTGTGTGGCTGTGTGTGTGTGTGTCTCTGTGTGTGTGTGCGGGTGTGTGGTTGTGTGTGTGGCTATGTGTGTGTGTGTGTCAGGGCATGGCGTGTCACGTGCTGCCTGTGCTGCGGTACGTTATGCTAAACTTCGTTCGCACCGTACGTGGCCAAACGCGCTAATCGGAGGTGCCTTTGGGAGGATAACAAACGAGACGCAGCAAAAAGCGGTTCGGAAGAAATGGGTTTGTCAAATCGAGATGATGATGATGATGATTTTAAAGCGCGAACAGCTCCCGGTGGCTTTCTAACATCGCAAGGAAGAGAGCGTTCCAGACGGCCGCGGAAGCGCACCTGAAGACGCGCGATGCGGTCAGGGTTCGCGACCGCACTTCACACGACTCGGGGTCGTCACGGATAGATTACCGAGTTCTCTATGAATTGAGTCGGAGGGTGTCTATGACTGTGGGTCTCTGTGGGAGTCTGTGGGTGTCTATGGGTGTCTGTGGGTCTCTGCGTGAGTCTGCTACCTTGATGAAGGAGTACAGCGTCTCTCCGAAGAAGCGCTTGAACTCGAAGCGGATGTCCAGCATGTCGACCTCGCACCGCGACACCATGACCCGGACCAGGGTCGCGTCGTCCGTGCCCAGGCCCTGCCAGAACAACCATGCAGCCACACACACACACAGCCACACACACACACATAGCCACACACACACACAGCCACACACACACACAGACACACAGCCACACACACACACACACCGCCACACACACAGCCACACACACAGCCACACACACACACATAGCCACACACACACGCCGCCACACACAACACCACACACACACAACCACACACACACACACAAAGCCACACACACATACCCACACACACACAAAGCGACACACACACAACCACACACACACACAAAGCCACACACACACAACCACACACACACACATAGCCACACACACACAGCCACACACACACACAAAGCCACACACAGACAACCACACACACACACAAAGCCACACACAGACAACCACACACACACACACGCCGCCACACACGCCGCCACACACACAGCCACACACACACAGCCACGCACACACAGCCACACACACACATAGCAACACACACAGCCACACCCACAGTCACACACACACATAGCCACACACACGTAGCCACACACACACAAAGCCACACACACAGCCCCACACACACAAAGCCACACACACAGCCACACACACACATAGCCACACACATACATACACACGTAGCCACACACACACACAGACACACACACACATACACACTTGCTGTACACACAAGCTCACGCAAAATGCAAATTGTGACTCTGACCCAGACATTAGGCCTCAATTGGCCCCCAACTCCAAACCCAAACGTGACCCCGAACCCTAACCCTGACCGTGACCCTTGACCCAAGCGGTGACATAATGGCCGGGCGGTAGCGCATTCGCCCGCTCGTTGCAGAGGTTCGCGGTTCGAACCCGTGCGGCCGCCCTGGTTAATACCGCGGAGTGCGTTAATCGTCACCTACCAAAGCCACACAGCCCGTGTGCTTCACTCACAGCGGACGTTAAAGACCCCGTGACGTCACGGACCACGTGTTAAAATGTACTCGGATGTCTGCGACCGGAAACAAGTTGGCACGACCCTCCTGAACAAGAGCCTTGGGACTCAGTGAGGCTGTCCCGGGGAGATGAGCGTGGTTATAATAGTTTAGCACGTTAGGCTTTCGCGACCAATATCATCCATAATAGAGGTCTTTCAGGTTAGATCACGTAAATATATAAATGTGTCGTTAAAACCCGGTTAGTGCTGTAATAGTGACGAATTGGCCACGTTCTGTTTACGTAACAACCCTTACTAGTTGGCTGTGTCAGGTGGTGGCAGATTTTAACGACGCATTTATATATTTACGCGATCTCACCCAAAAACATCTATTGTGGGTGGTTTTCATATTTGAAGTGGTAATCATTGGAATCCACTTACGTCCTGAACACACGAAATACCACCCCACACACCGCACACACCGCACACCATGCATATCACACCATGCACCCACACGCCACGCCGAATGAACACCACACACCCCACACCACGCCAAACAGACCACACCATGCACACCACACCATGCACCCCACACCATACACACCACACCATACACACCACACACCCCACACCACACCATGCACACCACACCATGCACACCACACCATGGACACCACACCATGCACCCCACACCATGCACACCACACCATACACATCACACACACCACACCACACCATGCACACCACACCATGGACACCACACCATGCACCCCACACCATGCACACCACACACCCCACACCATGGACACCACACCATGCACCCCACACCATGCACACCACACACCCCACCACATACAGACCACGCATATCACACCATACACCCATCCAAACCACACCACCCACACCATGTACACCACCCCACAATGTACACCGCACACCACACCATCCATACCACAGCCACACACGCACACAGCCACACAGAGCCACACCCACAGGCACGCACACACAAGCCACGCATACATGGACACATATGCACATACACACACAGACACACACGCACAGACACACACGCACAGACACAGACACACACACAGCCACACACAGACACACACAGACACACTTGCTATGCACACACTCTCACGCCAAATGAAAATTGTGACCCTGACCCAGACATTAACCCCCAATTTGGCCCCAACTCCAAAACCAAACGTGACCCCGAACCCTAACCCTGACCGTGAGCCTTGACCCAAGCGGTGACATAATGGCCGGGCGGTAGCGCGTTCGCCCGCTGGTTGCAGAGGTTCGCGGTTCAACCGCGGCCGGCCTGGTTAATACCACGAAGTGCGTTAATCGTGACCTACCAAAGTCACACAGCCCGTGTGCTTCACTCACAGCGGACGTTAAAGACCCCGTGACGTCACGGACCACGTGTTAAAATGTACTCGGATTGTCCACGACGGGGAAACAGTTGACACGACCCTCCTGAACATGAGCCCTGAGACTCAGCGAGGCTGTCCCGGGGAGATGAGTGTGGTTATAATTGACGTGGCCATGGTTGGAATCCACTTACGTCCTGAACACACGAAATACCACCCCACGCACCCAACACACCGCACACCGCACACCATGCACACCACACAACCCCACCCCATGCACCCCACACCCCACGCACAACACACCGCGCACGCCACCCAAACCACCCCAACCATACCATTCCCACCACACCGCCATGTACAACGCACACCGCACGCCATGCATGCACCGCCATGCACGGCACGCACACCACACAGCGGATTAGTGGTGCCACCACACTCTGACGCACTCTCCGGATGACGGTGATGAGGACGATGCGACGCCCCAGGCCGGGGTCACACACAGCGACACGATGCCCGACCCTCCACTGCCCCTCACCCCTGGGGGGGTTAGAGCAGCAAGCACTAAGGCCACGCTGCTGCTGTACGAATCTGATTACACTCATCTGCCACTATCTTTTGATTTCACCAGGTGAGGCCCACCGAGCTGAGCAGCTGTCCGTCAGAAGCTACTCGGCTGTCACAGACGACGGCTCAACGACGTGGGGCTCATCGCGTGGAAATGTACAGCGGCAAAATATTCTTAAACGCGTGGCGACGTTGAGTCTAAATCTGGAGGGGGAAAAACCCGCAGGACCCGGAGGAAAATCCACGCGACCACGGGGAGAGAGAGAGACACGCAAACTCCAGATTTGCAATAGGTGTCAGGGTGGGGATCGATCCCACGACCTCCTGTACACCAAGCGAGGTATTTAACATCTCCTAGCCACCGTGATGATGATGATGATGTGAGAGACCCAAACTCCAAATATACAGCAGCAGGTGTCAGGGTTGGGATCGATCCCACGACCTCCTGCATACCAGGCGAGGTAGTTAACATCTCCTAGCCACCGTGGGGCCCTGCAGTTTACCAGCGGCCGGGAAAGTCCCCCCCCCTCCCACCTCCCGGCACACCACATCAAGAGCACACGCAAGCCCTGAACTCCCCTCCAGCCGCCAAGTGATGCGCTGCCCACGCGCCCCTCACCTTCATGGCCTTGTAGAGGCGCTCCGCAAAGAAGGCCGGCTTGTCCAGAATGCACTTCACTGTGAGAGGGGGAGGGGGAGAGACGGATATAGGGGGACAGGGGGAGAGAGGGAGGGAGATAGGGGAGAGGGGGAGGGAGGGGAGAGGGAGGGGAGGGGAGGGAGATAGGGGGACAGGGGTAGAGAGGGGGGGAGGGAGACACGTGATTCACACTCTTCCCCAATCGTCATCGTCACCATGGTCGATCCACTGCTGGCTGAAGGCCTCCCCAAGCCGCTACCACCTCTCATGATCCAGCGATGATGTAACGATCCACCCGGCACCTACCCTGCACCCCTATACCCCTGAACCCCCTATACACCTGCCCCTACACACCGACCCCCACGCACTGACCCCAATACCGTACCGATGGCAAGGAGGACGTCCTCAAAGTCCCCGGAGGTCTCGCTGCGGATGCTCTCAATGACCGACTTGCCAGCCACGTCCTTGTAGATCTCAAACACTGAGACACGAGGAGGAGGAGGCGGGGTGGGGGGCACGGGGACATGGGGGAGAGGGGAGGGGTTACAGAAGGAGGGGTCGTGGGGGAGGGGTTGGGGGGGAGGAGGGAGGGGGGGGTCGTGGGGGAGGGGAGGGGTCGTGGGGGAGGGGTTGTGGGGGAGGAGGGGGGGGGTCGTGGGGGCGTGTGGTAGCGGGGTGTGTGTGTGTGTGTCACCTCTCTTGAGGTGTGCGTGGCTGCGTGAGCACAGGATCATGATGAACGTTGACTCGTCCGTCCCCAGTTTGTCCTCCCCGGCCAGGTACAGGCCCTGCCAGGGTCACGGGGTCATTCGGGCACGGGGCTTCAATCGTCAAGTGGATGTGCTGCTGATGATGCTGATGATGGTGATGATGATGGTGATGATGATGGTGATGATGATGGTGATGATGGTGATGATGATAGTGATGATGATGATGCTTGTGATGATGCTCATGCTGATGCTGATGGTGATGATGATGGTGATGATGATGCTGCTACTGATGATGGTAGCCGATGATGACCGACCTCTGCGTCTTGGCTTGCGAGTTCCTCGTCCACGTCGCCCCCCTCGTCTCTGTTCGCCTGCGATTCACATCGTCACCGTCATCATCATCACAATCATCGTCATCCTCATCGTCACCATCATCGTCATCATCATCATCATCGTCATCATCATCGTCATCCTCGTCATTATCATCGTCATCATCCTCGTCATCATCATGATCGTCGTCATCATCGTCGTCATCATCATCGTCGTCATTATCATCGTCATCATCATCATCGTCATCATCATCGTCATCATCGTCATGATCGTCGTCATCGTCATCATCATCATCGTGGTCATCATCGTCGTCATCATCATCGTCGTCATCATGATCGTCATCGTCGTCATCGTCATCATCATAATCGTCGTCATCGTCATCCTCCCTCGCAGGCTCAAGGCGCAGCCCCGCAAGTGGTCACTCAAGACGTCGCTGCACGAGAGGCCGCTGTGGCGTGCGTACTCGGCCTACTCTTCCGCGCCGAGCCAGCAACGCCTCGGGGGAGAGGTGGGAGAGGTGGCAGTTTACCCCCCACCACCACCACCACCACGAGCGGTGGTGGTGGTGGTGGTTGAACCCATTTACAATGGGGGGAGGGGGGGAGGGGCTCTAAGAAACTCGCCAAGCCGGGAGACGGCATCGACCCCGTGCCCTCTGAGGGCGGCGAGTCGCGTCGCGTGCTGCTGGTGACCGTCACCTGCCCCCCCCGTCCGCAGGAGCCCCCCACCCCGTGAGAGAGAAGTCATCATCGGCATCGCACGATCCAGAGGCTGGAGCCGGGGGTCGGAGCCTGCGGCTCTGTGGCTCACCCACCCCCCCCCCCCCCCCCCCAAATCTTGAGCGTCATTTTGTACGTGAACGATGACATAAGCGATGAAGCGTGGCAGGGAATTGGGGGGTTCACGATGGAGTGACACAATGTACGACGGTCAAACTTGTACTTGTTAAAGAATAACTCAGCGGTGGTGGGGCGGGGTGAACGAAATAGACGCAGTTTACTCCATACACCACGCGTAAGCACACACACGTGCATGCTATGTGAGTCTATGGGTCTCTGTGTGAGTCTATGGGTCTCTGTGCGAGTCTATGGGTCTCTGTGTGAGTCTATGGGTCTCTGTGTGAGTCTATGGCTCTCTGAGTAAGTCTATGGGTCTCTGTTTGAGTCTATGGGTCTCTGTGTGAGTCTATGGGTCTCTGTGCGAGTCTATGGGTCTTTGTGTGAGTCTATGGTTCTCTGTGTGAGTCTATGGGTCACTGTGTGAGTCTATGGGTCTCTGTATGAGTCTATGGGTCTCTGTGCGAGTCTATGGGTCTCTGTGTGAGTCTATGGGGCTCTGTGTGAGTCTATGGGTCTCTGTGTGAGTCTATGGGTCTCTGTGTGAGTCTATGGGTCTCTGTGTGAGTCTATGGTTCTCTGTGTGAGTCTATGGTTCTCTGTGTGAGTCTATGGGTCTCTGTGCGAGTCTATGGTTCTCTGTGTGAGTCTATGGTTCTCTGTGTGAGTCTATGGTTCTCTGTGTGAGTCTATGGGTCTCTGTGTGAGTCTATGGGTCTCTGTGTGAGTCTATGGGTCTCTGTGTGAGTCTATGGGTCTCTGTGTGAGTCTATGGGACTCTGTGCGAGTCTATGGGTCTCTGTGTGAGTCTATGGGTCTCTGTGTGAGTCTATGGGTCTCTGTGTGAGTCTATGGGACTCTGTGCGAGTCTATGGGTCTCTGTGTGAGTCTATGGTTCTCTGTGTGAGTCTATGGGTCTCTGTGTGAGTCTATGGGTCTCTGTGCGAGTCTATGGGTCTCTGTGCGAGTCTATGGGTCTCTGTGTGAGTCTATGGGTCTCTGTGTGAGTCTATGGTTCTCTGTGTGAGTCTATGGGTCTCTGTGTGAGTCTATGGGTCTCTGTGTGAGTCTATGGTTCTCTGTGTGAGTCTATGGGTCTTTGTGTGGTGAGTCTATCGACCACGACGTGAGTCTCGGTGGTTGTGACTGAAACCCGGATTCGAGCCAATTTGATCTCAGGGCTTCCGGCTCTGCATCCCTCTCCTGATGTCAGCTTACCGTGAGTAGGGAGACCAGGACTCGCTGGAAGAGTCCGGATGTTTCTCCCATGATGTCTTCCTCCAGGGACGAGCCGTACTCTGGACGTGCCCGACACGCAGGACAAGGTTAGACGAGACGCGTGTTGGTTACCGCGTGCCTCTGGGTTTCGGGGCTCGCAGATCGCCGAAACATCTGGACCCAGCCCCCGTCATGGGCGAGCTCCTCCGGCAGGCGAGGCTGCTGGGTGGTGCAGCTCGCGTGCCCAGACACCGCATGCCGAAGCAGCTTCCGTTTGGCGCGGATAGAGGGGGCAGCTAAACGGGCGCGGCACGTGCCGGAGAAGAGATGTAGCTGATGTGCTACAGGAAGAGACGTGGAGCCAAGCGGACTTGACAGTGACCGGTACCAGCGGTGACAAGATCGGCCTCTGTGGAGAAGGAGGCTCGTGGAGAACGCTGCTACTACTGGGCAGTAGCAACGCTCACAACAACGAGCGGAGCGCCGGGCAGATAAAGCGCAGACAGTTAGCACAGTAGGGTACATAGGTGGTGCATCTACCAGTCAACGCAGTTCACCAATAGCACCTGGCTATGTCCCGTGACCTGCTGCACCTAGCCTGGCACAGGTGGTGCACCTAGCCTGGCACAGGTGGTGCATTTACCAGTCGTCTCAGTTCAGCAATAGCACCTGGCTACGTTCCGTGACCTGCTACACCTAGCCTGGCACAGGTGGTGCATCTACCAGTCATCTCAGTTCAGCAATAGCATCTAGCTACGTCCCGTGACCTGCTGCACCTAGCCTGGCACAGGTGGTGCACCTAGCCTGGCACAGGTGGTGCTCACCTCGCTGATAAGCGGCACAGAGCTCCAACATCTCCGCGTTGTTCCTCGAGGCCAGGATCTCAATGAGACACTTCTCATCCGTGCCAGCTCCCTGCGTGCACGCACGCACACGCACATACACGTGCACGCACACACAGAGACAGACACACACAGACACACACATGCACGCACACATAGACACACACGTGCACACACGTGCACGCACACACAGACACACACGTGCACGTACGCACAGACACACACGTACACGCACGCACAGACACACACGTACACGCACATACACACATAAACACACACGTGCACACACGTGCACGCACACACACAGACAAACAGGTGCACACACACGCGCACACACGTGCGCGCACATACAGACACACACGTTTATGCACATACAGACACACACGTGCACACACAGCATGCACACACACGCACACACACGCGCCCACACACACATACACACGTACACACACGTTCACGCACAGACACACATGTACACACACACGCACACACATACACACACGTACACACACGTTCACGCACAGACACACACGTGCACATACGCACGCACACACGCACACACACATACACACACGTACACACAGTGAGTACACAAACACACACACACGCCCCCCCCCTCCCAACACACCACACTCCCCTCCCCACCTCAGCCCCTTCCCAGAGCCCCCCCTCGCCTGTCTCATCATCCAAGGCAGCCGCCTACACACGCGCACAAAGACAAAGACAAAGGTCCCCCGTGTAGCCTTCACAGACTGGTGGGGCAAGTGCTGTTCGCGAGCAGCACCTGTGAAGGCAGGAACGGCGCCCCAAGTGGGTCGGTGGCCAGCACCACGCCCGGCCGCCTTTGTCTCCCCGGTGGCGATGTTTTACGCACCGCACCAGGTACTCATTTGAGGCCGAGTCGACCTAGGGGAGGCCCAGGACCGGTTCAGATAATCGTCGCCGGTGTTGGCCGTGAGCGGGAATCGAACCCGGGTCGCTGCCGCTCCCCACTCACCAACAAAGACAAAGATCCCCCGTGTAGCCTTCACAGGCTGTCGGGGCAAGTGCTGTTAGCGAGCACCTACGAAAGGCCGGAAACGACACACGAGGCGGTGGGTGGCCAGCTCCACGCCCGGCCGCCTTTGTCTCCCCACTAGCTCCCCCCACCCCCCACCCCAACTCACCCGCATGGCCCCCTTGAGTTGCTTGGCAGCGTAGACGAGCGGGGGGTCGAACAGCGCCACGACCAGCGTCTCGAACCAGCCGGAGAGCTCCGACTTGAGGTCAGACAGCAGGTCCTGGGTGTCGCAACAAGTGGGTGGGTCGTGGGGGTGGGGGGGGGTCAACCGCGGAGCCTGTGCCAGGCTAGGTGCACTCCGAGGCCGTTAAGTGAGGTCAGCGAGGCTCGCGGGAGGTCACGGAGACAGACCCAGGTGCTATTGGTTGACTGATGTGCCAGGCTAGGTGCAGGAGGTCACTGGGACAGACCCAGGTGCTGTTGTTTGACTGCTGTGCCAGGCTAGGTGCATGAGGTCACGGGACAGACCCAGGTGCTATTGGTTGACTGGTGTGCCAGGCTAGGTGCAGGAGGTCACTGGACAGACCCAGCAGGTGCTATTGGTTGTCTGCTGTGCCAGGCTAGGTGCAGGAGGTCACGGGGACAGACCAAGGTGCTGTTGATTGTCTGCTGTGCCAGGCTAGGTGCAAGAGGTCACTGGGACAGACCCAGGTGCTATTGGTTGACTGCTGTGCCAGGCTAGGTGCAGGAGGTCACTGGGACAGACCCAGATGCTATGGGTTGACTGCTGTGTCAGGCTAGGTGCATGAGGTCACGGGACAGACCCAAATGCTATTGGTTGACTGCTGTGCCAGGCTAGGTGCAGGAGGTCACTGGGACAGACCCAGATTCTATGGGTTGACTGCTGTGCCAGGCTAGGTGCAGGAGGTCACGGGACAGACCCAGATGCTATGGGTTGACTGCTGTGCCAGGCTAGGTGCAGGTCACTGGGACAGACCCAGGTGCTATTGGTTGACAGCTGTGCCAGGCTAGGTGCAGTAGGTCACTGGGACAGAACCAGGTGCTATTGGTTGACTGATGTGCCAGGCTAGGTGCAGGAGGTCACTGGGACAGACCCAGGTGTTATTAGTTGACTGCTGTGCCAGGCTAGGTGCAGGAGGTCACTGGACAGACCCAGGTGCTGTTGGTTGACTGCTGTGCCAGGCTAGGTGCAGGAGGTCACGGGGACAGACCCAGGTGCTCTTGGTTGACTGATGTGCCAGGCTAGGTGCAGGAGGTCACTGTGACAGACCCAGATGCTATTGGTTGACTGCTGTGCCAGACTCGGTGCAAGAGGTCACGGGGACAGACCCAGGTGTTGTTGGTTGACTGCTGTGCCAGGCTAGGTGCACGAGATCACGGGGACAGACCCAGGTGCTGTTGGTTGACTGATGTGCCGGGCTAGGTGCAGGAGGTCACGGGGACAGACCCAGTGATGATGTTTACACTATGTACCAGATAGAGACCCAGGACCGGGTCCAGATAATCGTCAGTCATGTTGGTTGTGAGCGGGAATCGAACTCGGGAACCCAGGAACCTCGAAAAAACACGAGGGGACATCACCACTCAACGCCCCACACAGATGGATTCACGAATGCTGATAGCACCCTCGTTCTCCTCACCCCCCACATCCTTCACCCCCTCACCCTGCTCACCCTCACGCCTCACCTCTTCACTCTGACACCTCATCTCACTCACCACCACGATAACGCCTCACCCCGCACACCCTCACCTCACTCACCCTGCTCGCCCTACTAACACTCACCCACTCACTGCTCACCATACCCATCCTCACCCAACTCACCCCTCATCTTCACCCCTCACCGTGCTCACCCTTTCGCCGCTCACCCCCCTTGCACCACTAACCCTCACCCCACTCACCCCCCCACTCACCCTTCACCATGCTCACCCTACTAACACTCACCCACCCCGCACTCCAACCCTCCCCTCACCCCACTCCCCCTCACTACATTCACCCCTCACCCAGCTCACCCCACTCCCTACCTCACCCTCACCCCACTCCCTACCTCACCCAGCTCACCCCACTCCCTACCTCGCCCCCACATTCATTCAACTTCCTCACCTCGATCATTCTCACCCTCACCCCTCCCCCTTCCCCCCGCTCCCCCCCCCCTCCTCCCCACCACCCACCCCCTTTTCCCCCCTCCTCCCCTCCCCCCTGACCCCTTCCCCCCGCTCCCCCTCCTCCCTCTCCCCCTTCCCCCTCCTCCCCACCCCCCTTACCCCTCCCCCCTCCTCCCCTCCCCCCTCCTCCCCTCCACCTTCCCCCTGCTCCCCCTTACCCCTCCTCCTTCCCCCCCTTTCTCCCTCCTCCCCACCCCCTTCCCCCCTGCCCCCTCCCCCCTCACCTTGCCGAAGAGCGTCTTGAACGCCACCGCCACCTGCTGCCGCTGGGCGTTGGAGCGGTGCGTGACGACGTCGATGATCGCCTGCTCGTCCGTGCCTGGGGGGGGTGGGGGGCACGGGGTGCGGGGGGGAACGGGGTGGGGGGGCACGGGGTGGGGTCAAGGGGTATTGTGAGTGGAGTGTGGTGTTGAGTGTTGAGGGTGTGGGGTGTAGTGTAGGTGTAGGGTGTTGTGTGAGTGTAGAGTGGGTGCGGTGAGGCTGTAGTGGTGAGGCTGTGGTGGTGAGGGTGTAGTGGTGAGTGAGGCTGTGGTGGTGAGGGTGTAGTGGTGAGTGAGGCATGTAGTGGTGAGGCTGTAGTGGTGAGGGTGTAGTGGTGAGTGAGGCTGTGGTGGTGAGTGAGGCTGTAGTGGTGAGGCTGTAGTGGTGAGGCTGTAGTGGTGAGGGTGTAGTGGTGAGTGAGGCTGTAGTGGTGAGTGAGGCTGTAGTGGCGAGGCTGTAGTGGTGAGTGAGGCTGTGGGGGTGAGTGAGGGTGTAGTGGTGAGTGAGGGTGTAGTGGTGAGGCTGTGGTGGTGAGGCTGTAGTGGTGAGTGAGGCTGTAGTGGTGAGGTTATAGTGGTGAGGATGTAGTGGTGAGTGAGGCTGTAGCGGTGAGTGAGGCTGTAGTGGTGAGTGAGGCTGTGGTGGTGAGTGAGGCTGTAGTGGTGAGTGAGGCTGTAGTGGTGAGGCTGTAGTGGTGAGTGAGGCTGTAGTGGTGAGTGAGGGTGTAGTGGTGAGGCTGGTGAGGCTGTAGTGGTGAGTGAGGCTATAGTGGTGAGTGAGGGTGGAGTGGTGAGGCTGTAGTGGTGAGTGAGGCTGTAGTGGTGAGTGAGGGTGGAGTGGTGAGGCTGTAATGGTGAGTGAGGGTGTAGTGGTGAGTGAGGCTGTAGTGGTAAGGCTGTAGTGGTAAGGCTGTAGTGGTGAGGCTGTAGTGGTGAGGCTGTAGTGGTGAGTGAGGCTGTAGTGGTGAGGCTGTAGTAGTGAGTGAGGGTGTAGTGGTGAGTGAGGGTGTAGTGGTGAGTGAGGGTGTAGTAGTGAGTGAGGGTGTAGTGGTGAGTGAGGCTGCAGTGGTGAGGCTATAGTGGTGGTGAAGCTGTAGTGGTGAGGCTGTAGTGGTGAGTGAGGCTGTAGTGGTGAGTGAGGCTGTGGTGGTGAGTGAGGCTGTAGTGGTGAGTGAGGCTGTGGTGGTGAGTGAGGGTGTAGTGGTGAGTGAGGCTGTGGGGGTGAGTGAGGCTGTAGTGGTGAGTGAGGCTGTAGTGGTGAGTGAGGCTGTGGTGGTGAGTGAGGCTGTGGTGGTGAGGCTGTAGTGGTGAGGCTGTAGTGGTGAGGCTGTAGTGGTGAGTGAGGCTGTAGTGGTGAGTGAGGCTGTAGTGGTGAGTGAGGCTGTGGTGGTGAGTGAGGCTGTGGTGGTGAGTGAGGCTGTAGTGGTGAGTGAGGCTGTAGTGGTGAGTGAGGCTGTGGTGGTGAGGCTGTAGTGGTGAGGCTGTAGTGGTGAGGCTGTAGTGGTGAGTGAGGCTGTAGTGGTGAGTGAGGCTGTAGTGGTGAGTGAGGCTGTAGTGGTGAGTGAGGCTGTGGTGGTGAGTGAGGCTGTGGTGGTGAGTGAGGCTGTAGTGGTGAGTGAGGCTGTAGTGGTGAGTGAGGCTGTAGTGGTGAGTGAGGCTGTGGGGGTTAGTGAGGCTGTAGTGGTGAGTGAGGCTGTGGGGGTGAGTGAGGCTGTAGTGGTGAGGCTGTAGTGGTGAGGCTGTGGTGGTGAATGAGGCTGTGGTGGTGAGTGAGGCTGTGGTGGTGAGTGAGGCTGTGGTGGTGAGTGAGGCTGTAGTGGTGAGTGAGGCTATAGTGGTGAGTGAGGCTGTGGTGGTGAGTGAGGCTGTGGTGGTGAGTGAGGCTGTAGTGGTGAGTGAGGCTGTAGTGGTGAGTGAGGGTGTAGTGGTGAGTGAGGCTGTGGGGGTGAGTGAGGCTGTAGTGGTGAGTGAGGCTGTAGTGGTGAGTGAGGCTGTGGTGGTGAGTGAGGCTGTGGTGGTGAGTGAGGCTGTGGTGGTGAGTGAGGCTGTGGTGGTGAGGCTGTAGTGGTGAGGCTGTAGTGGTGAGGCTGTAGTGGTGAGTGAGGCTGTAGTGGTGAGTGAGGCTGTAGTGGTGAGTGAGGCTGTGGTGGTGAGTGAGGCTGTGGTGGTGAGTGAGGCTGTAGTGGTGAGTGAGGCTGTAGTGGTGAGTGAGGCTGTGGTGGTGAGGCTGTAGTGGTGAGGCTGTAGTGGTGAGTGAGGCTGTAGTGGTGAGTGAGGCTGTAGTGGTGAGTGAGGCTGTGGTGGTGAGTGAGGCTGTGGTGGTGAGTGAGGCTGTAGTGGTGAGTGAGGCTGTAGTGGTGAGTGAGGCTGTAGTGGTGAGTGAGGCTGTGGGGGTTAGTGAGGCTGTAGTGGTGAGTGAGGCTGTGGGGGTGAGTGAGGCTGTAGTGGTGAGGCTGTAGTGGTGAGGCTGTGGTGGTGAGTGAGGCTGTGGTGGTGAGTGAGGCTGTGGTGGTGAGTGAGGCTGTGGTGGTGAGTGAGGCTGTAGTGGTGAGTGAGGCTGTAGTGGTGAGTGAGGCTGTGGTGGTGAGTGAGGCTGTAGTGGTGAGTGAGGCTGTGGTGGTGAGTGAGGCTGTAGTGGTGAGTGAGGCTGTGGTGGTGAGTGAGGCTGTGGTGGTGAGTGAGGCTGTGGTGGTGAGTGAGGCTGTAGTGGTGAGTGAGGCTGTGGTGGTGAGTGAGGCTGTAGTGGTGAGTGAGGCTGTGGTGGTGAGTGAGGCTGTGGTGGTGAGTGAGGCTGTAGTGGTGAGTGAGGCTGTAGTTGGTGAGTGAGGCTGTAGTGGTGAGTGAGGCTGTGGTGGTGAGTGAGGCTGTGGTGGTGAGTGAGGCTGTAGTGGTGAGTGAGGCTGTGGTGGTGAGTGAGGCTGTGGTGGTGAGTGAGGCTGTGGTGGTGAGGCTGTAGTGGTGAGTGAGGCTGTGGTGGTGAGTGAGGCTGTAGTGGTGAGTGAGGCTGTAGTGGTGAGTGAGGCTGTAGTGGTGAGTGAGGCTGTGGGGGTGAGTGAGGCTGTGGGGGTGAGTGAGGCTGTGGGGGTGAGTGAGGGTGTAGTGGTGAGTGAGGCTGTAGTGGTGAGGCTGTAGTGGTGAGGCTGTAGTAGTGAGTGAGGGTGTAGTGGTGAGTGAGGCTGTAGTGGTGAGGCTGTAGTGGTGAGGCTGTAGTAGTGAGTGAGGGTGTAGTGGTGAGTGAGGCTGTAGTGGTGAGGCTGTAGTGGTGAGGCTGTAGTAGTGAGTGAGGGTGTAGTGGTGAGTGAGGCTGTGGTGGTGAGTGAGGCTGTAGTGGTGAGGCTGTAGTGGTGAGGCTGTAGTGGTGAGGGTATAGTGGTGAGTGAGGCTGTGGTGGTGAGTGAGGCTGTAGTGATGAGGCTGTAGTGGTGAGGCTGTAGTGGTGAGTGAGGCTGTAGTGGTGAGTGAGGCTGTGGTGGTGAGGCTGTAGTGGTGAGGCTGTAGTGGTGAGTGAGGCTGTAGTGGTGAGTGAGGCTGTGGTGGTGAGGGTGTAGTGGTGAGGCTGTAGTGGTGAGTGAGGCTGTAGTGGTGAGGCTGTAGTGGTGAGTGAGGCTGTAGTGGTGAGTGAGGCTGTAGTGGTGAGTGAGACTGTAGTGGTGAGGGTGTAGTGGTGAGTGAGGCTGTAGTGGTGAGGGTGTAGTGGTGAGTGAGGCTGTGGGGGTGAGTGAGGCTGTAGTGGTGAGTGAGGCTGTAGTGGTGAGGCTGTAGTGGTGAGTGAGGCTGTGGTGGTGAGTGAGGCTGTAGTGGTGAGTGAGGCTGCAGTGGTGAGCGAGGCTGTGGGGGTGAGTGAGGCTGTAGTGGTGAGTGAGGCTGTAGTGGTGAGGCTGTAGTGGTGAGTGAGGCTGTAGTGGTGAGTGAGGCTGTAGTGGTGAGGCTGTAGTGGTGAGTGAGGCTGTGGTGGTGAGTGAGGCTGTAGTGGTGAGTGAGGGTGTAGTGGTGAGTGAGGCTGTGGTGGTGAGGCTGTAGTGGTGAGTGAGGGTGTAGTGGTGAGTGAGGCTGTGGTGGTGAGGCTGTAGTAGTGAGTGAGGGTGTAGTGGTGAGTGAGGCTGTGGTGGTGAGTGAGGCTGTAGTAGTGAGGGAGGCTGTAGTGGTGAGTGAGGCTGTAGTGGTGAGGCTGTAGTGGTGAGTGAGGCTGTAGTGGTGAGTGAGGCTGTAGTAGTGAATGAGGCTGTAGTAGTGGTGAGTGAGGCTGTAGTGGTGAGGCTGTAGTGTGAGTGAGGCTGTAGTGGTGAGTGAGGCTGTGGTGGTGAGTGAGGCTGTAGTGGTGAGTGAGGCTGTAGTGGTGAGTGAGGCTGTAGTGGTGAGTGAGGCTGTGGTGGTGAGTGAGGCTGTAGTGGTGAGTGAGGCTGTGGTGGTGAGTGAGGCTGTAGTGGTGAGTGAGGCTGTAGTGGTGAGTGAGGCTGTGGTGGTGAGTGAGGCTGTGGTGGTGAGTGAGGCTGTAGTGGTGAGGCTGTAGTGGTGAGGCTGTAGTGGTGAGTGAGGCTGTGGGGGTGAGTGAGGCTGTAGTGGTGAGTGAGGCTGTGGTGGTGAGTGAGGCTGTGGTGGTGAGTGAGGCTGTGGTGGTGAGTGAGGCTGTAGTGGTGAGGGTGTAGTGGTGAGTGAGGCTGTAGTGGTGAGTGAGGCTGTGGTGGTGAGTGAGGCTGTGGTGGTGAGTGAGGCTGTAGTGGTGAGGCTGTAGTGGTGAGGCTGTAGTGGTGAGTGAGGCTGTGGGGGTGAGTGAGGCTGTAGTGGTGAGTGAGGCTGTGGTGGTGAGTGAGACTGTGGTGGTGAGTGAGGCTGTAGTGGTGAGGGTGTAGTGGTGAGTGAGGCTGTAGTGGTGAGTGAGGCTGTGGTGGTGAGGCTGTAGTGGTGAGTGAGGGTGTAGTGGTGAGTGAGGCTGTAGTGGTGAGGCTGTAGTGGTGAGGCTGTAGTAGTGAGTGAGGGTGTAGTGGTGAGTGAGGCTGTAGTGGTGAGGCTGTAGTGGTGAGGCTGTAGTAGTGAGTGAGGGTGTAGTGGTGAGTGAGGCTGTAGTGGTGAGGCTGTAGTGGTGAGGCTGTAGTAGTGAGTGAGGGTGTAGTGGTGAGTGAGGCTGTGGTGGTGAGTGAGGCTGTAGTGGTGAGGCTGTAGTGGTGAGGCTGTAGTGGTGAGTGAGGCTGTGGTGGTGAGTGAGGGTGGTGAGTGAGGGTGGTGAGGGTCTCCTCACCGAACCCCTTCATCGCCTTCCTCAGGGCTTTGGCGTCGCTCTCCGCGTCGAAGTCCTCGAAGTCCAGCACCGTCTGAGCCACGAGCAGGTGAGGGGTGGTGAGGTGTGTGTGGTGAGGTGTGGTGTGGTGAAGAGTGGTGAGGTGTAGTGTGGGGAGGTGTGGTGAGTGATGGGGTGTGACGAGGTGAGTGGTGGGGCGTGGTGAGTGGTGAGTGTTGGGGTGAGGTGAGTGGTGAGTGGTGGTGAGTGGTGGGGCGTGGTGAGTGGTGGGGTGAGTGGTGAGTGGTGAGTGGTGGGGTGAGTGGTGAGTGAGTGGTGAGTGGTGGGGTGAGGTGAGTGGTGAGTGGTGGGGTAAGTGGTGAGTGGTGAGGTGAGTGGTGAGTGAGTGGTGAGTGAGTGGTAAGCTGACATTATCTCGCACTCACCGCCATGCTGTCTTTCCTGTGAACTCAGTCCTGACCTCGTGACCCAATGACCTGCACGTGTTCATTAAAGGGGAGGAGCCACACCACAGTTCAGGGGTCAACACTTCAGTGATATCAGGCTGAGCTGACCTAGAAGAGGCCCAACCCAGTTGACATCGTCATGATTATCAGCCAAGGTCTCTCCGCTGCTGGATGAAGGCCGCCAACTCTCACAATCCGGCAGCTCTGCACCTCAACACTCACCCAGAGTCAGAATCTGTATTCATGCTGGAGGAATCCGATGAGCTCTAAAGCGCTTTGTCACAGATATCCAGGAGGGACGGGTAAGAACGTTACATCAACAAACGGTTACAAAGACACGATCGGAGTGCAGAGTACAAGAAAGTTAAATACATCACCTAAACACGTAAACATCAAACTAAGCTATCCCCATCCTACCAGGCAAAGCCCCGCTAGGCATTAAGTTCCGTTCCAAAAGCCACCTGCCCACAAATGATCGCTGAACAAAGTGGCTTATCTCATTCTCACACTCACTCACACTCACTATCACACTCACACACTAAACTATCACACTCACACACAACAACAACAACAACCGCCATTCGCCACTAAGTGGCGGTGACGTCACCACGATGCTTGTGCCAGACCAAGTGCACCTTGTGGCCACGTGAAGTGTCGAACGCCCGCTGGCAGGAAGTCACGGAGCAGACCCAGGTGCCACGGGTCGACTGACCGAGATGACCGAGATGACTGGCTGATGCACCACCTGTGCCCCCTACTGTGCCAACTTGCTGTGCTTTAGCCACCCGGCGCTCCGCTCGTTGTTGTGAGCGTCGCTCCTCCGCCCTCCGTTGTTGTTGGAGGGCGACTGCCTCCAACTGCCCAGTAGCGTCCTTCACGAGCCTCCTCCACTGAGGCCGATCTTGACACCGCTGGTACCAGTCATCGGCAAGTCCACGCAGCTCCACGTCCTCCTGTACCACATCACTCCATCTCTTCTCTAGCCCGTACCGTGCCCGTTTAGCCCGCTCGATCCGGCCGAACAAAAGCTTTTTAGGCATGCGGTGACTGGGCATGCGGGCTACATGACCCAGCCAAAGCAGCCTTGACTGCCGGAGGAGCTCACCGATGGGACTTTGCCCAGATCTTTCAAGGATGTGTGAGCTCCTCACACAATCCAGCCTGGTTAAACCCAGGATGGATCGTAGGCAGACCAGCCTAAATGTTTCCAATCGGTAAAGATGCTCCATTAGGGGGGTCCACGTTTCGCAAGCATAGAGAAGGGAGGGAATGACCATGGCCGAGAAGACTTGAAGTTTCGTGCGGAGCGACAGACCAGGCAGCTTCCCCACAGCGTTACGCAACCGATGAAAGATAATGCTGCTCGATTGATTCTGAGTGAGACCTGCTGTCAAACCAGAGCCGGTGATGAGCACACTGCCCAGGTATGGGAAACTCTCCACTCTCTCCACAACTGCCCCATCACCGATTGGGAGTTGTGGGGGTGGAGTGCCCGATGGTACAAAATACCCAGGCAGGTGCTTAGTTTTGGTGGGGCTATTGGTAAGGCCCCACCTCTTGGCACGCTCCAGTCTCAGCAGCAGCGTCTCCAACTCCTCCTCTGAGTGAGTGGCATACATAACGTGGTTGACCAATAGGGAGCCATCCCTTGACTGTACCCTGGCATCGATCAGCCTCCCATTGTATCTGTACCAGATGGAAATCTCTCTGGTAAAGCCATCAAAGGCTTCACAAACTACGCGGTCGAAAAATATGTTAAATTAAGTGGGAGCCAGAGGGCATCCCTGTCGAACCCCAAGGTGTACAGGGAATGGCTCCGACTCCCGGCCACGTAGTTTTACCCGGGCCCGCTCACCATCATCAAGGTCCTTAATGATCGTTAGCAGAGGGTCAGGGACTCCAAAAGCACGAAGAACAACCCAGAGCCCAGGCCTACTGATGGTATCATAGGCGTTGACGAGGTCTTGTTGGAATTCCCTGCACCTCTGCTGTAGCAAACAGACAGAGAATATGGCATCTGTGCAGGACCGCCGTTTCCTGAAACCACATTGAGGCTCCGCAAGCCTCTCCTCAGCGTACCTGACAAGTCGATGTTGAATAATCATAGCCAGGACCTTTCCCGGCACACTGAGGAGTGAGATGCCCCTGTAGTTGTTACAGTCTGTGCGGTCCCCCTTCTTAAAGAGGGGGACCACAAGGGCATCCTTCCAATCCTGCGGAGCCTGTCCAGTGGTCCAGACTGTTGTTATAATGTTATGTAGGGTAGTCTGTGCACAAACGCCACCCTCCCTCCGCATTTCGCTTGGGAGATCATCTCTGCCCGGTGCCTTTCCTGGTCTCAGACTCTGGATCGCCTTTAGTACTTCCTCAACAGATGGCACCTCAGCCAGCCACTCATAGGGGGTGACTTATTCTTCCAATATTTAAGGCACCGCAGCCTCAGCAGGGTCATTCCAACTTTGTCCCACGATCTTTTCCAGGCTGAGGGATTTCCCCTCCTCCAGGACCTCAAAGAAATGCTCATCAAATCTGCAAACTTGTTCCTGGGTGTGGGAGATTGGATCACCGGTCTTTCCCCTAATAATGGTAATAGGTGTGGCGCTGCAGGTTACTTTTTTGATGGAATTAAAGAGCGATTTGTGATCGTGGGCCATTGAGGCAGACTCCATCTCCTCAGCATCCCACGACCACTAACCATCCTTGCAGCGCCTCACGGCTCTCAGAACCTCCGAGCGCAGGTTGCGGTAAGCCTCCTCATTTTCCGACGTGAGATGCTGTAGCCGATGAGAGTGGGCCTGTCGCTTTTTCTCAGCCAGCTTGAACACCTCCTCTGTCAGCCAGGGTCTCTGGGGAGGTCTGGACCGTGTACCCAAAGCAGCCATTGCAGCTGCATGAGCCACAGTCCTAAACCTCGCCCATTTCCGCTCGACATCAGTAGGAGTGGGGGACGATGCCAATCCCAGCTGCAAGCAATGATTAAATTCACGCTTGCAACTTTGATCAGCTGGCTGAGACCAGGCCACTAAAGGTTTGAATGGGGTCCTGGGTGTACACCCACCACCGGAGTGGAAGATTGGCAGGCGCATCTAACAGATGACTCGTCGATGGTCAGTGGGCAGATCAGCTCCACGGTAGGTCCTGGTGTCAAGGACACGTGCCCGCATCTGCTGTTCCATCACTATGTAGTCCAGCAGATGTTCTTGCTTGGACCCGGCATGTATTCATGATGTGAAGATGCGCCGATGCCGGAACAGCGTGTTGGTAATTATGTAGTGACTGTGCTTGTCACTGTATGGCGCCGGGGCTTGTGAAGCTACGGCCGGTAATGTGTTGTCATTACAGACAGCTCGCGTTACGGGATGTATTACCAGCCCTTGCGGGGCTTGGGTGAGCGCTGGTTAGCGCAGAGGCACCGCGAGCAGTGTGCAGTGCGGGCTCCCGGTGAGGGAGCGAGAGGGAGAGTCAGCCAGCCAGGGTTACGTTGGGGCATGATACGCCAGTTGACCTGCTGACACGTGACCGGATGATATTGGAGGGGGGCCACCGGTGGATGGGGGCCGTGGGGCGGTCACGTGGTCCAAAGGAGCTCTCGGGAGCCTTCGAGAAGGAGCCCGAGAGACCTGGAAGGTGGGCGGGGTGAAGGGCGGAGCCAGCCCCAGAGTATATAACGAGGGCTCTGTGAGGAGCTCGGGGTTCTTCGTGTGCTGGTGTCAAGAAGACCAACGTCGGGGAGAAGAAGCCTCGAGCCACGCGGTCTAGGACCCCATTGGTGGTCCGGACCAGGATAGCGAACCGTGTCTAGTTCTGCCGTAGCGTGGTTATATGGGCATTCGAGACCCAAGTGTAGATCGTGTTGTGTGTTAATGTGTAATAAATAGTGTCGCTCCCAAGATAACGTCTCAGTTGGACTCGCTACAATTACAAGCCCATGGGCTGCACAAAAATCTAGCAGCCTCCTAACGTTGTTATTAAGCTGATCTGGCCCATGCCTTCTAATCACTCCAAACCAGGTGCCAGCATCATGACCAACTCGGGCATTGAAGTCACCCAACAAGATGACTCTATCCCGAGGGGCCACTTTAGCTAGCACCTGTGACAGGAGGTCATAGAAGGCATCTGACTCATCGGCTTCTCTCCACAGATGTTCGTCTTCGGTGGGGGCCTAAGTAACCACGACCACCACTCCTCGCCTCTGGTTGATGGGAAGGCGAACCCAAAGTAGCCTGGGGCTTACAGCTTCCCACACCTCACCACCACTCTCCCACGCCCCCTTCATTCTTTTGTTGAGAAGAAGAGCCACTCCCTGTTGTTTGGCATTCTCCTGCCCCGAGAAGAGGACTGTCCACCCCTCATGGTGGCAGGAGCCAGAGCCGGTCCACCGGACCTCCTGAATACCACAGAGATCCAGGCAGTACCGGTCCAGCTCCCGACAGAGGAGTTGCAGTCCTTTCCTCCGCAATGAGCGTTCGAACATTCCACGTGGCCACACGTAGTGGTTTTTTGTTGTTTCTGGAGGAGCCCCAAGGGTAAGAATTCAGTCTCCTGGCTCCGCCAATTGGGGTTTGCCCAAGAGACGCCATAGACGCCTGTTCCCCCAGGGCCTCCGGCACAAGCTTATTAATTACAATTTTCCGTTGTGGTTTTGTGATAATTAATTGAAGGTGGAGGGGTTACCAGCCCCTCGCACCCGTCCAGAGCCCCCATTTGGCCGCTGTGGTGGTTACAAATGCTGTGAAGGGAAAGGCCAATCTGAATTGGCCCTCCCCCCACGGCACTGCCAACCACAGCGTTGCCGCCCGGCACCATGAGGAGGTAGGGGGTTGTTTTTGCCAGACTAGACAAAGTTCCCCCGTATAGCCTTAACAGACTGTAAGGGCAAGTGCTGTTAGTGAGCACCTATGAAGGCCAGAATGGTACACGAGGGGGTGGGTGGCCAGCACCACGCCCGACCACCTTTGTCTCCCCAGTGGCGATGATTACACACCGCAACAGGTACTAATTCGAGGCTGAGTCAATCTAGGGGAGGCCCG